ATGTTCTAAACAAAATATCAGTCTCAGAAACTCAAATTCAAGTAAGCTATTCAGAATAATTCACTATAGCCAAAAAGTTATTTTAGCAATGCAAGGATGGTTAATATTAGAAAATTCATGTATTTGTTTAACCGTGGTGTAGTATGTGCCATACTTTGTTTAGAAGTAAGGAAACTCTGAGGAGTAAGCTCTTTCTTGCTACATGGCCACAGGAAGCATTCAATACATTTTAAATATTCTTATTCCTGTTCCTAGTCTTAGTCATTACCTTCTCCTTATGGACATGGATCGTTACAGGGTAGTGAGGGTCATGCAAAAGACAGATGCTAAGGGAGAACTGAAAGAAGTTAAAAGTGGCTTGAGTGTGGACTGTGTGTCTGAGTGGTGTAGCATTGAGAGATCATGCTGGAGAGGTAAGGAAAGCTGGATCCCATGTACGGATGATGTTTAGGAGCTTTGATTTTATCCCAAGAGCAATAGGAATGCTACTGGAGGGAGAATGTTATGATCAGATTTGCACTGTAGAACAATCGCTTTGGCTAGAATAAGTAGAATGGCTTGGCCAGAAGCAGGACCATGAATTAGGAGGCTGCTGTATGAGCCAGGAGATTATCTCAGGTGACGATCTAGGCCACCAGATTGCATAATGTGAATGGTGTCCTCAGAGCTGTGCAAACCAACAGCTATGATAGGAATTGAACCAGGGTGGCTTGCACTGAGAATAGAGAAAAGTGGGTAGAAAATTCCAAAACACCTGGGGAAAACTAATATTAAGAAAGACAGCCAAAAATGTCAACAAATCGGAAACAGATTTACTTTTGATGAAACACAAATAATGGCACGCCTCCAAAACGACTTAAAATAAATCTTTGTCTATGACCTTAAGATATAGAATGAATAGCACCTTTAAAATAGATAATAAATTGTGAGACAGATAAATGAATCAAGAACACATGGGTATAAAAGAAAAACAATTAGAATTACTGGAAATAAAAAGTAGTTGTTGAAATAAACTTAACATATGAGATGAAATCTAGTCTGTTTAAAGAGTGAAATTGTGAATTGGAACATAGTCCTGAGGAATTCATCCAGAACACAGTACAGATAAAGAAATGAAGTATAATGGGGGTAATAGACTGAGGGGCCCCAGCATTTGTCTCAAAGGAGTTCCAGAAGGAAAAAAGAGACTAGTGAATATCCAAAGAGCTAATAACTGAGAATATTTCAGAATTGAAGAAAAGCACATACTGTGCTGCTGAGCACGATTTTAAAACAAAACAATGCTTCTAGACATGTTGAAGTGAAACATGAGAAATCAAAGATTAAAAAAATTTAAGTCTACCTGAGGATAAAGACAGATTATCTATGAAGTAATGGCAACTAGGCAGTGAGCAGATTTCTTCTCATCTGTAATAGTTGTTGGAATTCAACGGGACAATATCTTTAGGGTGTTGAAAAAAGAAAGAAAACAACCCTCTTAAGTTCTGTACCCAAAAAAACCATCAGCAAAGAGAACTGTTTTCAGACATACAAAAAGTGAAGGGAGTGTATCACTCACAGACTTTTCCTGAAAGATCACTAAAGGATGTATGTCAGGCAGAAGATGTACGTCTTGTTATTAAGAAGTGACACGATGGAGACTTGAACAGTCTAGCCACCAAAAAAAAAAAAAAAAGTGACAAGAAATAGGTAGACTATGTTGATACATTTAATTACTAACTGGAAAAATTAAGTAATTTTTTGCATGTTTAAAAGGAGGCTTGAACTAAATATATAAACAAAGTAGCAAGGACAATAGGAAGGGAAGAGTTCAGTGGATAAAACATACTTTATTGTTTCTCTTTTACCATCACCCCCCAGAGAGAGAGAACAAATTTAGTTTGTTGGAAAAAATATAAATAAGTGTATCGGAAGATATAGAAATACAATCTATAGCTCCCAAACTAGCAGAGGGATAAAAAGAAAGATAATAAAAAAAGAAAACAAAACAAAAAAACCCCACAACCTTTATTCAATTGAAGGCTGGAAAGGAGGAAAAAAAAAAAAGTGAAGAAAACACAGGGAATAGAAAATGTAAAATGATAGATTAGAAATAATTCCAAATATGGAAGTAATTATAATATGTATAAATAGGTTAAATTAGCCTATTAAAATATCAGACTATCAGACTGAATTAAAAATACAGCTGTATTCTGCTTATAAGAGATATACCTGCAGAAAATGACATGGAAGGATTTAAAATAAAGGAATGGAAAAAGATACGCAGGGGGAATACTAACCAAGAAAGCTGGTGTAGCATTATTAATATCAGACAAAATAGAACTTCTGGAAAAAAAGCATTAGGGGTAAGGGGAGTACTGCTTTGTAACTTGGGAATGATTCTTCCCCACTCCCAATGTTTCCTGCAGCGCGGAGGGAACACTTGTGTCACAACCCTGCCTCTCTCCACCCTCTCTGACAGGTGTGTTTTGGAGCAAGAACTTGGCACATAGAGCTGTGTTCTTTCCCCCTTTTCCTTTTGGAGCTAGATGTCCTCAGGGCATCCTCCTTTGTGCCCCTGCACTGTCAGTCTCACCTGAGCAGCCCCCATGGGAGGGGGCTTGCCTCTGCCCAGCACTACCCATGACTGGGTGGGTAAGTTTGGCTAATTCTGGGGTTTAGTTATGAAGACCCATTTCTTCATACTAAGGTAGGTGTTCCCAGTTGGTCTTTATCAGTAACGAAAGAGTTCTTTCGACTCCCAGCAGCCTTACTCTTTGTTGTTTGTTTGTTTGTTAGTTTACTTCTGAATTTGTTTAAAACATGGCAGGGAAAGATGCTTCTTACTGGGCCCCCTCAGAAGCCTCAGCCTACATGATGATATACAGAACAGTCCACTCAGATCTAACAGCCATGAATTTGTGTATTTAATAACATAGTCTTGCATTTTAAAAAGCAAAAACGGACAGAAATAGAAGGAGAGAAATCCTTGCTTATAGTGGGATATTTCGATAATATCTCTCAGAAACCAATGGATTAAGCAGACAAAAATTGCAAGGATATAGAAGATTTGAATAATGTAATTAACAAATGTGATCGAATATATTCCTGCTTCCAACGAAAGAAAACAATACATTCTTTCAAGACCACATGGAATGTGGAGACAAAATATAAAAGGTCCATGTAACCAGGCAGGAGACTGAGCCAGAGCAGAAGCCCCTGGGGTCCTGAGACTGCGGGGCCGTAGGCGTCAGCCTTTCCCACCACTGACCGCAACCAGGCCAGCAATGGAGCCAGCCCTGGGCCAGCCCTGCCCTGCCTTCCCCCTCCCCCAGCCCCTCCCCAACATCTTAGAATGTACTTATTAAAAAAAAGAAATATATGTATATATATGAAACGTCTATATATTGAGTCAACAAATTTCAAATAATTACTATCATATAGATCATGTTCCCTGGATATAAGACAAATTACAAATCAACAATTAAAATAGGAAAAAAATGTCATATTTGGAAAGTTAATTAAAAAAAAAAACCTTTGAATAACTCATGGGCTAAATAGGAAATCACAAAAGACCTGACAAAATATTTAGATCCAAATGACAGGGAAAATACTACCTATCAAAATGTGTGGGATGCAGTTAAAGTGGTACTTAGATAGAGATGTATAGTTTTAAATGCAGTTGTAAAAAAGAAGAAATAAAATGAGTAAGCATGCAGGTCAGGAAGTTAAGAGAGAAAGAATAGTAGGAAAAACCCTGAAGAAAATAGAAGGGAGGAAATAAAAAAGACAATAACAAGCTAGTGGGGTAGAAAGCAAAATTAAAAACAGAGATGATCAACACAACCAAAAGCCATCTCTTTGAAAAGACTAATAAAATAGATAAAACTCCAGCCAAGACTGACTAAGGAAAATAGAGAAAAGATACAAACAGTATTTCAGCAAGGAAGGGGGGACACAAGTACAAACAGAGATGAAGTCCTAAGAATACAAGAAACATCTGTGTATCAGTGCATTTGATGGATAATTATATAGAAAAACATAAATTACCAAAATTGAGTCAATAAGGAAAAAACCTAAACATTCACCACTGAAGAACTGAATTGGTAGCCCAAAATATTCTCCTATAAAAAACAACAGGCCCAGCGATGTCACAGATGAGTTTTAGCAAACCTTTAAGGAACAGAAAAATCTCTATATTATACAAACTATTTCAAAGGATGACAAGCTACCCAATAACTTTATCAGGGCTGGAATAACACCTTGGTATCAAAACCTGACAATGGAAGTACAGAAAATAAAAAGTAGGCCAGTGTTTCTTGTGAACGTAGATACAAACATCTAAATAAAATATTTACAGATTAAATTCAGCAGATGTTAAAAATAATGCACCATAAGAAACAGGAGTTTAACCCATGGAATAAAAAGATGGCTCGATAGAATTGTAACCCACCAGGTTAACAGATTAAAAGCCATGTGATTATCTTAGCAGATTCAGAAAAGCATTCAGTAAAATTCAGCACTTTCATAATGTGCTAAATGAATCAGGGGAACAGGCTAAATTTAGACTCTCATGGTGAATCCCTTATAAAGCAAATTCCATCCCATTCATTGTAAGTAAATCCAGTTTTCAAGTATTAGATTTTCTTTTCATAAAGCTTCAATTGCATGTCAAAACCCACATACATCCAGAAGCTTTGCCCAATTCTTTGGGAGAACACAAAAAACCCACAAACAAACCCAAAATGACAGTGCTCTTGAAGGTGACTGCTTGCACTTCCCATTTTCAGTGGCAGACAGCCTTACCAGTCCTGTTCTCTATGTATCTGCCTCCCCTGAGGTACCTAGGGTTCAATTTTTCCACCATTTGACTGTGGCACCCGATGTGTGGGGGGGTGAAAAGAGGCAAATCTGACCCCAGACACTTGAAGCAAGGGCCCCTGCGTGGCGTGCTCTCAGCTGCTTCCTCGTTGAGTGTTTCTCGCAGGTGCCCTTTTCTGATCCTCATCCTACGTGTGCAGGTCCAGACTGAAGACAGTGCATGAGCGGATCCCTTTGGCAGGACTGAGCAAGTTGCCCAGCGTCCCTCAGATTGCAAAGGTAAAAACCAACCCCTGAGAGAAGGCGGTGCCCCTTTTCAGCCCTGGGTTGGCCTCTGGCATGGGGGTGCAGGCTTGTCCTGGGTGGGCCCTCTGCCCTTTGGGGGGGGGAGGCCACTTTACTCTTGACCCTGGACTGCATGGATGGTGCGGGGAGGGCTGTTGGCAGGTGCCTTCATTGTCCCTGCCCCCTCCCTGGCTCATCCTCACTGCTGAGGCTGCTGGGGGAGCCAGGTAATCCATAGTCTCTGCCCCCAAGCAGTTCACAGCTTGTTCAGGAGACAAGAGAAATGGAAAGACATGGCTGAATACGGCGAGTGCTGTAGGACTTCAGAGGAGGGCTGAGGAGGGGGTGGCCAGGGAGCCTTCACAGCAGGGGAGAGGCCTGAGCAGGGCCGAAGGATGATCCAGACTGAGCATCCCCTTGAGAAAGGAGCCATTAGCTGGTGGAGGGCCCCAGTCACTGCTTTGGGATGCTGGGCACCTGGGAACTGGGTCAGCAAAGTGGGGTGAGAAGGATGGTCAGCTGGCTTGGGTTGGACGCTCGCTCCGGGAGCAGGAATGCCAGGCAAGAATTGTGCCAAATACCTTTGGTGGAAGTTGGGGGGTGGATGGGTTTTAGGCATTGTCTTCAGGTCAGAACAGAGACAAGTTTCAGGCTTCATCTTTTTATCCCTCCTCTTTATCAGGAAACCCCAGAAGGTTAGTTGACTTGCCTAGGCACACATTGGTGAGCCACAGAGTCAGGACTCGAACCCGGGCCTCCTGACCCCGCCTGTTTGGCCCTCCCATCTGCTTTCTCTTGGTGGGCAGAGGAGTCCATATGTACTCTTATGGATGTGGTCCCTGAACTGTGTGTTTCTCTCCCTGTTCAGGCTTTCTGTGATGATGCAGTGGGGCTGAAATTCAACCCTGTCCTGTACCCCAAGGTGAGGACCTTCATGCTCCCCTTGCCCGTTATCTGGGGCCCTGCAGCTTGGCATGGATTTGCACATCTTTGGCTTTTGGGGGGATTCTCTGCATCGTGGGGTTTTTTGGTGCAGCCTCCATGATAAACCTCCATATTCCCCTATCTCCCTACCTACCCCTTCACAAACTGGTCTGCTGGGAACCCGTCCTCAGCCGTCCTGGGTCTCTGGCCCAGATGAGTCGGTCCCTAGCCTGTTGTGAGGGTGGAGAGGGTGGCAGTGTCATAGCTTCTCCACCCCAGACGTACCTTCCTGAGACCAGTGCCAGGGTGGGGTGTGATGCCACCTATAGCTGGGGGACTGTGCAGATGGAGTGTGCCATCATGGGGGTGGGGGGTGTGGAAGGCAGAAACTTACTAGGAAGTAAAAGACCAGATAGGCTCCCCGTTGCCCATGTTACTGCAGTTCTGAGGCCTTGCAAACCCCTACTTGGCCTCAGTTAATAAACGGGCTGGTTCTCTGATGCTGTCCTTGGGATTGGTCTGATCTTCAGGCCAGTTCTGATATGGGAGTGTGGGTGGGGAGAGAAGCAATAATAACAAAACAAACCAACAAATCCACTCAAGAGCAATTATGGCATGGCAGGGCTCAAATTACCCACAGACCGTGAACTGCCTGAAATTGGCCACAGGAGAAGACCCAGGATACCGACTGCTTCTTTGTGAGCTGGCAGGGAGGGGACATGGAAGCAGAGGCGTGCTTCCGAGCTTCTGCTGTGGTCAGCGCTGTGGCGGCTGACTCTTGCTAGGGCTGGTTCTGTCCGTTCCCTGAGTCCCGACTCTGACAACCAGGAACCATGAGATGAAATGTCTGCTGGGGAACAGAGGCCCCCATCCCGGCTGAGACATCCAGAATCCTCTGGAACAAATGCCTTAAATGTGGGCACGACACTCTTGGAAGCCCCCGTTTATCCCTCTGCAGTGGTGGAACTGAGGGCAGAGTCCTCTGCTGCACAGAGCCCTTCTCTCAGATCTAGCCTCTTCTTATCAGTTTTAGCATCTGTGGACATTTACCACTAATATGCTGAACACTGAACGTTTTTCACCATTCAGACTGACCTCTCCTTTATAATTAAAGCTGAATTAGTGAGGTTTAACCAAACGTTAAAACTCCATCATAAAGGCCTAATTTAACTGCAGGTCTGGCAGCTTTTGTTGTCAAATGACATTCGTTTGCAAAGTTCTGTCTGTAACTTGGAAAGCCCCTGGGCCTGGTAATAATGGGAGAGCAGCTGTATTTTCATGTTTTCTGCAGTTGAAGGACTGCTTAGTCCGGTTGGGATGTTAATCTGGCTGAGACGTGTGTGTGTTTTAAAAAAATCTGCAGAGTTTAGAACGTTCCTTGGAAGATCTCCATGGCCTGGTGCCTCTCCCTGGCAGGGCACCTGTTCCTCCTGTTTGACTCGTCCTGGCAGGAGTGGAGGCTCCTTCCAGGGTCGGGCAGCAGTGCTCTCGCCGGGGCAGCTGAGAAGTGTCGTTTCCTCAGGCAGCTGAGAACCTCACAGAGATATACAGTGGGTGGCCACCTAACACGGGCCACGTATTGCAGTCAACGCATGGTGCCTTGTTTGCTCTTCCCCTAGCACAGCACATGGCTGAGGCCCTTCTTGTTATTGCAGAAGGGATTCCAACAGCACCCAAATCTTTTCTTTCCCAATAAGCTGGTTCAGCTCTGATCTTTCTGGGGGGTTACATAGGTGATGGCGATCGCTGCTCTGTGCTCAGTGAGGTGCCTGACCTCACTGAATCTTCATAACCACATCTCTCCATTTAACAGATGAGGAAACTGAGGCCCAGAGAAATTAAGTGGCTCACTCAAAGCTACGTAGGTAAAAGCAGCAGATGGAAAACTAGAGTTTAGTGTTTTTGACTCCAGACATGAACTCTATGAAACATAATGGAATATTGGATAGAACTGATAGGTTTTTTTTTTCTTTGCTGTTGTGTTGGAGTGTGTTCCTCCTAAGAATGTTCTCGTTAGAGACCCCTCATTTTATGGATAAGGAGATTGAAGTCTGGGCAGGAGTACTGACTCGCTTAAAATCATACTGCTGATTAGAGGTGGAGTTAGGACTAGAGTCATCCTTTTACCAGTTTTGGGGTTCTAGCCTCACTTTCTACACCACAGATAAAAGACTGGAGTAAAGTCAGTCCCCTGAGTCCTGCTGGACTCCTGTGCCCAAGCTCTGGCTGGCACATCTGGATGGGAATGGAGTGGATGATGCAGAGGTTTGGTTCCTACTGGGGAAGCCCTGGTGCTGGGATCTAGCTAAGTCCTTGGGAGGTGCATCCTGACCGTCCCCTTGTTAGTCCCCTTTTCTCTTCCTTTATACGTGTGGATGTCTCATATGAGGGGACACCTTCTCTACCTAAATAGGTGTTCCTGCTTCCATTTTCTTCCTCACTTGCCTCCAAATTAAATCTTGCATTTTTTTCTTCCCGTATTTTCCAGGCCTCTCAAATGATTGTGTCCTATGATGAGCACGATGTCAACAACACATTCAAATTTGGGGTCATTTATCAAAAAGCCAGGCAGGTAAGCACCGTGAATCCATACTGGCCACTATATCCTAAGGCTTCTCACCGAGGACCCTTTTTTCCTCCCCAACCCCAAGCACAGGAGCCCTGAGCCAGGTTCTTCAACATTCTGAATGCAACTGTCAGATTTAAAGTATGAATTAGACTGGAGCTAGAAGAATATTCACAGAAGGCTACTCCTTGCAAAAAAGGCCTGCAAGTCCTTTCAGAGATGTAGTTTTTTTCATACAGTATTTTTTAATTCTTCCTGGCCACCTCAGCTTATATTTACCTGTGGGCCGTCAGTCACAAGAAAAACCTGATTAGGTAGAGGAACTGGATTAGCACAGCTGCTCTCTCCTTGCCCAACATTCTCCCTGCCAGCTGTGAATTATCTGCGTCCCCCACCCCCAGTGTCAGTGGTGTGCTGGATTGAATTGTGTGCCTCCTTCCCCGACCTGTCTTCAGTGATGTCATGTTAGTAGCTTGAAATCAGCAGTGGTGGAAGTATCAGTATTTATGCCATGGAAATTGGCAAACACCAGGGTTTCTATTTTCCTCCTGTGGAGATCCAGTTGTTAAAAAAAATCTGCCAGCACAGCACTGCTCACCCTCTTCTGTCTCTTTTTAAAAAAAAAAATTAATTAATTTTTTTACTATATAATGTAAATATTTTTTGTGGCCCTTTACCAATTTCCCCTTAAACACCGTCTTTTCTCCTCCTTTCCCACGTATGGTGTCCTTGGTTTCATTTTCTCCTTTGGAAAGTTCAGGGAATTATTGTGATATTCTCCTCCCCTCCCCTCCCCTTCCCTTCTTTTGCTCCCACTTGTAAGTGAGGACATGTGGAATTTCTCTTTCTGTACCTGGCTTATTTCACTTAACATGATTTTCTCTCAGTTCATCCATGTTGTTGGGAATGGCAGAATTTCATTTCTTTTTATGGTAGAGTAGTATTCCATTGTGTGTATGTACCACATTTTCCTTATCCAGTTGTCCGTCGATAGACATTTAGGTTGGCCCCAACTCTTAGCTGTTGTAAATAGAGCTGTGATAAACGTGGGAGCGCAGGTGTCCCTTCAACATGATGATTTCCATTCCCTTGGGTATGTTCCCAGCAGCGGGATTGCTGGATCGTGTCCTCCTCTGTCTCTTGCAGCACTCACATGCTGCTTTGGAGTTACTTGGCCCAAACGATGTTTCTCAAAGTGTGTTCCATGAGTGCTAGTCTGGTGAGGTCCTCTGTGAGCAAATGACTTGGGGAGGGAGTGTCACTTGTGTGCGAACATTTCAAAAGCTCAGAGAACCCCCAAGGTAAAGAGCTCTTTATACTTTTGTCAAACTCAGTGTTTCCCATTCCTTTTTGACCAGAATCTTCCCATCTTTTCTTCTTCTTTCCTACCATGAACAATTATTAACATCCCAAGCAGAGTGGTCAGCTGAACACTGATGTCAGGGATCAGCAAACTTTTCCTGTAAGGGCCAGATTGTATTTTAGACTTGATGGGCCTTGGGGTCTCTGTCACAGCCAATCAACTCTGCCTTTGCAGTGCAAAAGCAGCCACAGACAATATGTAAATGAGTTGGTCTGGCTGTGTTTATCCAATAAAACTTTATTTATGAAAACAGGCAGCAGGCCAGACATGGCCCACAGGCCATAGTTAGCTGACCCCTGCTAGAGAGCAGTGTTTCCCAAATTTCAGACATTCACAAAATACATTCAGGATCTGTATTATAGTGTTTCTTCCAGCATATCTCACTGTTACAATTTTTATCAGATCTGTATTATTAATTACTTAATATTTTCCTTAAAAAGTTTTTTAAAACTTAAATTCCTTTATTTTTAAAAGACATTTTTAATATTACTATTCTAACTGGAAAACCAGTATCACTTGTTATGAAATAGAAGGAATTCTAAAAAGAAATACCGTAAAACACAAAGTTATTGAAAGAACTCTAGTAGATCCTGTTGCCTATCCCAGAACCTCAGATCTGCTCTTTTTTGTTACAAAGCAGACATTAGGGAGGTATTAAAGAATCACCTATTGGAGACTTTCTCCTTGCAGTGATTGGACAATCTGGAGTTTCTTTGTGTGCTGTCATTTGTTGCAGTCTATGTATGACGGCACTTCAACAAATTCGTGGAAAGATTCATATCTTTTAATTCTGTTTTTCCATGAACTTTTTGAAGTACCCTTGTTTGTTTGCAGAGCCTTCAGCTGTTTGGAGATCTTTCAGCCGTTTGCAGATCCTGTCAGTGTTTGCAGAGCTTGCGACTTTTCAGCTTTTCTTTCTTTTCTAATTATTAAACTTTCTCTTTTTAGACATTTATAGATTCATATACAGTGGTAAGAAATAATGCAGAGAGATCCTCACGTACCTTTTGCCCAGTTTCCCCCAGAGGTGATGTCTTACAAAACTATAGCACAATATCACAACCAGGATATTGACTGATACAAGCCACAAAACTTTGTCAGATTTCCTCAATTTTACATTTGTGTGTGTTGTATATTTTGTGGCATATAATTTTATCACATGTGTCGGTTCCACAGTCAAGATGTGGAGGAATTCCATCAGCACAGGGGTCCCTTGTGTTGCCCTTTTATAACCACGTCACCTGCCAGTCCTTAACCACTTGCAACCACTAATCTCTAATTTCAAACACTTTTTAATTTCAAATTTTTATAAAACGGAATCATACAGTATATAACCTTTTAGCACTGGCTTTTTTCTGCTCAACAGCATTCATCCAAATTCTTGAGTATGTCGACAGTTTGTTCCTTTTTATTGCTGAGTAGTATTCCATCCTGTCAATGTATCACTGTTTGTTTGACATTCACCCATTGAAGGACATCTAGTTGTTTCCAGTTTTGGGCTATTATGAATAAAGCTGCTATGAACATTTGTGTACAGGTTTTTGTGTGCACATAAGTTTTCATTTCTCTGAGATAAATGCTTAGGAGTGCAGTTGCTGGGTCGTATGGTAGTTATATGTTTGGTTTTGTAAGAAATTGCCAAGCTTTTCTAGAGTGGTCGTTCCCACCATCAGTGTATGAGTGACTCAGTTTCCCCACATCCTTGCCAGCATTGGATGTTGTTACTATTTTTTATTTTACCCATTCTGATAAATGTGTAGTGATATGTCATTCTGTTTTTAATTTGAATTTCTCTAATGGCCGATGATGGTGAATATCTTTTCATGTCCTTATTTGCCATCTGTATATCCTCTTAGGTGAAATGCCTGTTCATGTCTTTTGAACATATTCTAATTGGATTCTTTTAACTGTTGAGTTTTTAACTTTTCGTAACAGCTTTATTGAGGTATAATTCTCATACAATGCAATTGATAATAGTATGGGCATTCTTTCTCAAGAAAGTCTACAGTTCGGTGGCTTGTGGTATAATCAGAGTGGTACAATAATCATTACTATCTAATTCCAGAATATTTTCATCACCCCCCAAAGAAAACCTGTGCCCACTAGCGGTCACTCCCCGTCTGCATTCTCTTTAGCTCCTGGCAACCACTAATGTACTTTCTGTTTCTATTCTGGACCTTTTGTAAGTGGAATCATATAATACGTGGTTTTCTTGTCTGGCTTCTTTCACTTAGCATAATGTTTTCAAGCTTCATCCATGTTGTAGCATGTATCAATACTTCATTCCTTATTTATTGCCAAATAATATTCCATTGTGTGTATATATCACATTTTTTTTTTCTTTTTTGTCTTTTTTCGTGTCCGGCAATGGATCGCAACCCTCAGTGTCGCGCCCGCACCGGACCGGACCGGCAACGGGATCGCAACCCTCGGTGCTGCGCCCGCACCTCGCTCAGCCAGTGAGCGGGAACCGGTCTGCATGTGGGATCCGAACCCTCGGCGGGAGCGCCGCCGCGCTCCCAAGCAGCGCACTACTACAGTGCGCCACTGGGCCGGCCCGATATATCACATTTTATTTATCCATTCGTCAGTTAATGGACATTTGGGTTGTTTCCACTTCGGGGCTGTTATGAATAGTGCTGCTATTAACATTCGTATATAAGTTTTTATGTGGACATATATTTTCATTTCTCTTGGGTATATAGCTAGGAGTGGAATTGCTGGGTCATATGGTAACTATGTTTAGCATTTTGAGGGACTACTAGATTGTTTTCCAAAGTGGATGCACCATTTTACGTTTCCACGAGCATTGTATGAGGGTTCTGATTTCTCCACATCCTTACCAACATTTGTTATTGTCTTTCTTTTTTATTTATAACCATCCTAGTGGGTATGAAGTGATATCTCATTGTGGTTTTGATTTCTGTAGAGTTTTGAGAGTTCTTTATGTGTGTGTGTGTGTGTGTGTGTATTTTTTTTTCTGGCAGCTGGGTAGTATGGGGATCTGGCCAGCCTCTTTTTATATATTTTTGAGACTAGTCCTTTGTCGGAAGTCCAATGATCAATTCTTCATATAAGGATTATGTTTTTGGTATCAAGTCTAAGAGCCCTTTGCCTCAGCTTTGCCTTTCGTACTGACCAGCAGCCTTTGCTCACATAGAAAGGCTTCATTAACCAGCCCCGAAGACCAGCTCTGTCGAGGGAGCCTCCACTAGTCCTTCCTCCAGTTGAGGACAGCTGTGGCCAGTGTGCTGGGTGATAGGGAGACAGGAAGAAAGGACCAGATACCTGGACAACCATGTTCCTTCCCTGGGCACCAAGAAGGCTTTTTCTAACTCCTGCCCCTGTTCTTGACTCTCTTTCAGACCCTGGAGGAGGAGCTATTTGGGAACAATGAGGAGAGCCCAGCTTTCAAGGAGTTCTTGGACCTGCTGGGGGACACAGTCACACTGCAGGACTTCAAAGGGTGGGTTTTGGCAAAGTGATGGCTCCAGCTCCGTTGATGAGGCTCTAGGGGAAGGCGAGGAGCAGACAGCTCGGTCCTTGGGAAGAACATGTGAGAGTTAAAAACCACACGAGGAGCTCGGGACTGTTTTTCAGCATCTGATCAGCACTCGCCTGCATTCCTAAGGAATCAGTGGTCCAAGCATAATACATCATGGCAGATTATCTGAGAGGCATTGACATTTGGCCCTAGGATGCGTGACGAAATTGCTCCCCTCAGCTTTGGCTTCTTAATTACACTTGGCTGAGACTGAGAGTGAAATGAGTCCACCTTCCCCATCACTTACCTGCCAGGCATTTGGGAAGGAGAGTCCTGTGCAGTTTGCTGAGGTGGGGGTGGGAGGGCGAGGTTGCAGGAATGATACATTTTAGAAAATACACAGAGAGTAGATAATTTTGAGTTGATGCAAATATAATAATCCCCTAGGCAGGAATCCATGCAACAGTTTATGGTTAAGTGGACAGAAAGAAAATATTGAGGCTATTGCTTGGTCAACTCTGGCCTTTGATTTTCCTTGGCAAAGGCAACATTTGGGAAGAGTTCAGACCCAGCCAGCCTGTTCTGGGCTTGGTGGCTGGCACATGACATGGTCGAGGGCCCCAGAGTTCCCCACCCCAGCAGCCAAATTAACAGGAGCTCCTAATATCATGTGTGAAAGCACCTAGCCCAATGCTTGGCATGCAGTAGGTGTTCAATAATTGCCTTCTTCCCGTGCTTCATCCTCTCCCCTTCTTCCTTCTTCTTGTTCCTTTCCCCTCTTCCTCCATCTTTTCCCCCTTTAGGGTCATCACTGCTGTCTGGAGTCAGTCACACCTGGGCTAAAATCCCAGCTCCACTGCATGGAGCTAACGCTCTATGACTTTGGACAAGTAATCTTACCTCCATAAGCCTCAGCTTCCTCACCTATAAAAAGGGAGATAGAGATAGTCCCGACCCCCACTGTTGTTGGGGGTTAAAATAGATGATGCGTGTGAAGCCCCTAAGCTAGTGTCACACACTGGTAGTCAATATTGTTACTGTTCTCACTTTACCGTCTTTCATTGACTTTGAGATACTATCATTATAAGATGCATCTTGATTTTTTTTTTTTTTTTCCTTTTTGTCTCTTTTTTACTGACCAGTAACGGGATCGCAACCCTCGGTGTCGCGCCCACACTGCTCTCAGCCAGTGAGCGGGAACCGGTCTCCACATGGGATCCGAACCCTTGGCGGGAGCGCCGCCGCGCTCCCAAGTGGCGCACTCTCCAGTGCGCCACTGGGCCGGCCCAGATGCATATTGATTTTGCAATGTTAAAATGTGAAAAGATGTGGGTTTTAGAATAGATGAAATAGAGTGTATGAAACCCAGAAGAATCCCAGTGATGATGTAATCCTATCACTTTATTTTATAGAGAAAGGAAACTGAGGCCTAGACAGATGAAGGGGTATGTCCAAGGTCACGTGCTGACTTAGCAGCAGAAGCAGGTCTAGAACCTGGAGCGCCTGACTCCCAGTCCAGTGTCCCTTCCACCATGCTGGGCTGAGCACATTTTCTGGCTTGGATTACGGTGCTGGGGGACTGACATCCAGGCTCCATCCTATTTTGTTTTTTTAATGGAACCTACATCTGCAGACTCTTTCTTCTGCCGAAGAAAAAGATCCAAGACTGGCAGCCACATTGCTGTGAAGGCAGAAGGGACAGCTCCTGCAGGCTCACCCAGTTCCTTAGTACTTTTCTTTCCTGCCTGTGAGGAGATAGCCAGAGAAGGGACCTCCCTTCATACCCCTGAGCTAGGTGCTGCCGTGGTTGGGCCTCTGTATCAGGGACTAGCTGGGTAGAAGTTAAGCATCTGTCACCTCTTCTGGATGACTCCTGATGCTCCTGTGGGACTTGCCACCATCCGACAGTCCTGGCTGTGGACTGAGGGTTTGGAGGTGACCTTGCAGACAGCAAAGGCCTGTGCCCAGCCTTGGGGGCCACTGGCACCTGGGATGGGCATTTGTCTGGGATTGTGGATGGATGGTTTTTTTGCTACATGACCATCCACTGTGGAGGGGACACAACCAAAGCTTGAAATGGAGGTTCTGCCTTTGTCTTTTAAATAATGGATTTACAGGTAGATGCCAGGGCTAGTCTGTCCGGAAGAACAGATCTCCCGGCTTGTCTGCATCACATTCCATAATCGGCCCTCAGCTCTCCTGGGCCTGCCCATCCCTCCCTGCTGCATGTCTGTAGGGAAGGTTGCCCCGAGTTGCCCACTCTCCCTCACTCTCTTTCTCTCCCTGGCTCCTGCCCGTTTCACTGACAGTTTCCGAGGCGGCCTGGATGTGACCCATGGACAGACAGGGGTGGAATCAGTGTACACGACATTCCGGGACAGGGAGATCATGTTTCACGTCTCTACAAAGCTGCCGTTTACCGAGGGAGACGCCCAGCAGGTAACCCGGCTCGGGCGGGCTGTGGGAGCCCGGGGCGTGTGAGGTGAAGGCCCGCTGGTCTGACCCGCCTGGGGGACTGCGGCCCCTCCTCGTTTTCATGATCAAGAGGCCAGGCTGCTCAGCTGTGTAGTGTTGTCAAAGCCTGTTCTGTCGTGTTATCTTGCCAAGGCTGCAGCTTAGCAGCGCTGTGCGGGAGGCAGGGCGGGGCTCGTGGTTATTCACATATTGGCTGATGGGCAAACTGCAGCCCAGGGTGCCAATGAGAGGCAGAGCTGGGTGCAGAGTGGGGGGCCCTGATCCCATAGGGTAGGGCGGTGGTAAAGACAGCATGACGGGGTCTGCTGATGGGGGCCTGAGCCAGGTTTGCCACTTAGGGGTGTGCAATGCTGGGCAAGCCAGTTAACTTTGTGGCCTCGTTCTTCTCATCTGTAAAATGGGAGTAACGCCACCTACGTCAGAAGGTTGTTGTGAGGATTACGTAGGTTTCTGAATGTAGGGCTAGTACGATGCCTGACTTGTGTCTGGCTTCCTATATAACAGCTGTTCAGGATCCAGGCCACTGGTCTTTTTGCCATCCTTCCTGCCTCAGCCATGTAAAGCTGGTTATTGCATGAGAATCCTTGCCCCCACTCCCCTCCAGCTTTTTTAGTCTGTGGACAGGAATTCAGCCTCTACCTGAACTGGGGAAATCTGGATGAAACCTTCCTTTCCAAGGTTTTCTTGCTCTCTTTCAAATTTGGTGCTCTGACAGCCATGCAGCTCTGGGGAAGAGCTCTGGCTCTTCTGGAACCAGCAGCTGATCCCTGGTGGTTGCAACACTGTTTGCCCCATGCCACTTTTTGCCCCTTTTCAGTCTCTGGGAAAATAAGAAAGGCAAGTGGGCCTTTGCCCAAATTCTGACCTATTTGTCTCTGAGCAGGGAACTGGGGAGGGAGCACAGATGTAAAATTATAAACATTGTGCCTGGCTTCTTAGGAAAAAAGGAAGTTTGGCAACCGATATTATGATTTGGCTCTGAAACAATTACTGAATGTTCCAGAAACAAGTGGGAACAGGATTCCTTTTGTCTCCAAAGTGGGTTTTCTCCCAGCATCTCACCTTTAGTCTCTCTGTCCCCTCATGGTCCCCCTCACCTGCTGCCCCAGCCCGGGGCAGAGGCTTGTTCTCTCGAGGCCTTTTCAGTCTCATGTGTGTTAATTGGGAAGTATACCTCCGCACAGAGCGTGGCTCTTAGCAGGGAATGAATAAATATAGTTTTCCCTTCCTGAGAAATGGGATGATGTGTGTGGAAAGTGAGACAATTTGTGGAAGAGTGCCCAGCACAGTGCTAGGTATATAGCAGGTGCTCAGTAAATAAGAAACTCAATGTGAAAGGGCTGAGCATAAGACCTGCATGCAGTAAGTGCTTAATAAAGGAACAAATGCATAGGCAGCCACCTAGCCAGGACTTGGTGTACCGGAGAGGTTTCACATTTGAAATCATGCATGTGAATAGCCAGCGTGGTTCCTGACACCCAGTAGGTGCCTGGTGACTGAGATCACATGCAAAGCACCCAGCACTGCTTGGGAAACTGAATGGGGGTTGGGTTCCCCCCTCCACCCCACCTCCATCAAGCCAGGTGACTGCACCTCCCTAAGTATGACTCTTCTCCCCTCTGGTAGAATGACCCACCCCCTCATCCCTCTCATCCACATTTCCACCGAGACCCCCACCCCCACCTCCTCTTCCAGGAAGCCCACTTAGGTTGCTCCCACCCCTCTGATTTGCCCTCCTCTCTATCCCCAGAGCTTTCAGGCACTTCTTGTGCAGCAGCTGATTTAGCACCTGGCTGGTGGCTTTGTTAACGTTCTCATGAGACTTCACCTGTGTTTGTGTTTCTCCTGGGTCAGTTACAGGCTCTATTAGGGCAAGACCCAGACTCACCTTGTAAGTATTCTCCCCAAGTCCTGAGTCACGGCCCTGCCCACTGTAGAGCTCAGTTAAGATGCTCATTAGGCTCTACCTAACAACTTGGACCTCTTCTCTATTTTTTTCTTTTTGGTGGCTCCTTGGAGAGCTAGGTCTCAGAGTTCCAGGGTTTATGTATAAAGACAAAATAACGAGGAATTTCCTGTACAGATCTGTTCTGTTTTCAGGATGTTCCTAACTGGCTTATGATGACTGAACACTTTTTGTTTAGCTCCAGAGAAAGAGACACATTGGCAATGACATTGTGGCCATCATCTTCCAAGAAGAAAATACACCATTTGTCCCAGATATGATCGCCTCCAATTTCTTACATGCCTACATTGTTGTGCAGGCTGAGACCTCGGGCACAGAGACTCCATCCTACAAGGTAAGGAGAGAGCCTTGTTGCAGGAAGTGGTGGGCCCAGACACCTCACCACACTTTGTGGATTCAGTGATATCAGAGGACCCTAGTTCTCAACAGTAATAGATTTTCCATGAGTTCTTAGGTTTCTGGGATTTGGAGCTGGACTTGGTGGAAACCACTTTCTGAGGTCTTTTCATCCATCTTACTGCCTCTGGGCTCTATGGCATCTAGCTCAAGCATTGAGAGGCCGTATTTGGAATCTGGAAATGCCATTTGTTAGAGTAAGGTAGAATTAGTGGACAGAAGAGAGAACTATCAGGAAAGGGGAGAGGAAGAAGGGAGGTAACAAACAAAGGAAAGAAAGAAAAAGGAGACGTGTTTATGGTGAGGGGGTGGAGAGGAGGGGCCTGGTAGACTGGCCCCTAGGGGAGCCCTCTGGTCTGGCTGTTCTGGACAAATGATCGATTCTAATATGAAGACTTCCAGGGAGGCAGGGAGTGCCAGCACCCAGGTCTAAGCCTGCCGACCAGTAAGTGGTCTGTCACATTGGCTCAGTGTCCTCACGACTGCAGATGAGACGAAGATGGAGCAGACCACTGTCCTCGCCACCCTCCCCTGCCCACTCTGAGGGCTGGATCACTGAACCTCTGCTTGTTTTTGCGAGAGACAATCCCAAACTCTTGGGCAACAGTTTCTCTATATCACATTGGTCTGGGGGCAGGGGACCCAAAAGGGATAGACTGAGGCAGGGTTTTTAGGGTGAGTGTTAGACAGTCTCTGAAGCCCCTGCAGATATGTGCAGAATGCTGAGTTTGTGTGCTTTTTTGTGTTTCCTGGGAAGAGAAGTCATAGCTCAAATTCTCAAAAGGCTTCCTTCTGCACAAACTGTTAGGAACCGCTGTTCTAAGGGAGAGGAAAAATGAGCCTGTCATTGCTAATGGGACGCAATGAGGCCTGGAAATGTTTCCTATATGATAACTTAGGTCTGTGCTGATTCCTGGGGTTCATTACACCATAGCACTTCGTGGCCATCTTCATGAAGTATCAGTTTTACTCAAAGACTTTGGGAAAAGAAAATAATGTTATGTAATTTGTTACATTAGTGCAAACCAAGATTAAGTGCAAAATTCCTATCAAATTTTAAAATCAAATGTGAGGCTTCAAAAAAATATACACTGACAACAACAGCAGAAACCCCCAAAACAACTCTCTCCTATTGAGGTGAGGTGATTCCTTTACATGCCCATGTTCACGTTCATGCTCCTCTGGCTTTGAGCAATTTTAGGTGGAAAGGTGGAGAAGCCAGGGTGTGGGCATTTCCGAGAAGGCTACGGGATCACCTGCTTTGACTGAAATGCGCATTCACTTCAAATAGCTGCTTGATTAATTTGTTGGTGGAAGCAGGTTTGCTCATTCAGTGCCTACTGTGTGCTGGGCACGATGCTGGGGCGGGACATGTGGAAGTGACACAGTGAAGGGGCAGAAGAGCCAGTGAATCAGTGCAGCCACTGGGCAGCTCATAGAGCCAACTGGTTCTAACAGCTGGTAGAGGTAGAAGACTACTGAGAAGGACCCCAAAATAAAGCTGTGTGACAGGAGGGCTCCCAGGCCCCGCCAGACCATCATCTGTATGTGGCTTGTCTGCCGGCAGAATGAGGCCTCTTGTGCATGTTTAGTTTTTGCTTTTCATTCCTAATAGGAAATAGGTCTTGGCTAATTGGCTTCTCTGCTTTCCCAAGAGCTTCGTGGAATGGTGCGCCCATATGGAGAAAAATCAGAAATCCCAAAAAAGTACCACCCATCTCCAGCTTTGATGCTAGAAGTCTTTTACCCAGTCTTCCAAGCTGCAATCTGTGGTCTAGGGCCAAGCACTGTCCTCACAGAGGTGGTGAGAAGCAGAGAAGCAGGGCCCCTGGGAAGAGCGGGTCTCTGTTTCCGTCTGTGTGAAATGAGGAAGTTGGACGGGATGACCTGCGGGCCCCTTCCAGCCCTGACATCCTGTGGGAGGGGAAGGAGGAGTAGTTGAGAAAGAGGTTGTGTGTGGTTTGGGGGAACTCTGTGGTATTTCAGTTGCCCTTTATTAGGTGTAGTCATCAGGGAAAGTAAAAAAAGCACTAGGCGACCATGGTTACACCTTACCTGGTGCTCGCTTGTGCCAGGCACTGTGCTAGGCTCTTAGAGGTGTAGTCTTCTTGAATCCTAACAAGCTGTACATGAGGCAGGGCCTCTCATTAGCCCTATTTTATAGGGAAGAAATTGAGGCTGAGGGTTTAAGTCACTTAAGGCCCAAGGCCACAAAACCAGGGAGCAGTGGAGCTGGAACTCCTGCCCAGGTATGGCTGTGGTCTTCCTCACAGAGATACCAGAGCAGGTGGAAAGTTGGCTCTGCAAACTCTGGTGTGCAAGAAACGTCACATTGAATTATTTTTCAGAAATGAATTTAGTCTCCATCCTGGCAGATTGGAAGGAAATTCCAGTGTAGCTATCACTGGGACTTCCTCCTCTCTCTCTCTGTGGTGTCACACTGCCCCAACTCCTGAAGTCCTGCAAAGGCTTCAGGAATCTTATGCAAAGCAGAACAGTGGGGAAGTCTTTGCAGTAAAATGCTCAGGAAGTCTTTGCCTGAACAACCCTCCGTGGCCCTGAGGCTCCCAGACTGCACTTGGATGTTGGAATTTTGTCAAGTTTTGAGCCCTCTGAGGCTCCCCACCTCCCCGGTGCATCCTGCACACCCCCAAGCTCCTTCCGCTTTCCAGCTTGAAGATGCTGTTCCCTAGAGTCACCTGCTCTGCCTCTCCCTTCAAGCTGTCCTGGAAGGCCCTCACTGAATTTAGAAAACAGGAAGGTAGGGTTGTGTTCAGGCAACTTCTGCTTTCAGTGCAGGAACCCAAATGTCCCCATGAAGAGGGCACAGCAAAGGCTTGGCCGCTGTGTTGGAATAGGGCCAGGAGAGGGAACACGATGAGGGTGGAAGATGAGTGGATGTCACAAGGAAGCGTCCTGCCTCTGCATTTCTGATGTGGCTGCTACAGTGGGGGTGTCCAGCTGGGAGCCTCGGACAGATCTAAGAGCACGTCCATCAGCACAGACCACTCTAATGCAAACCTGAGAAGGAAGGGGGGTCTGGATGGGGGAACTGGACCTGCCCTCTGTCCTTTGTCCCAGGAGCCTGCAGTCAGCAGCCTGTCAGTGGCCTTCCCACTGCCCCCTGCCCCAGATTCTGGCTCTGGGGGTAGAATTCTTGACTTGGGCCACCAGTGCCCAGTGAGTGGTGGTGGGGAATTGTGTTCAGCAGCTGGAGCCTAGCAGAAAACCCTTCAGCCAAATGCATACCATTTGGTGACTCTGGGTACAATTTGGGCTGTATAGACAGCCTTGAGCTTGGGGAGAGAAAGCCCGTATTGACTGACTCTCTCCTGCTCCCTTCCCCACTGGACCCTGGCAGGGCCTTTCCTTGGCTTGGCTCCCAGCTGCCAGCTTGGCTCACCCGATCTGGCAGTCTCTCTGCCTCTGCCCTACTTCACAGGCCAGAGTGGCTGGCGATAAGCCAGGGCTGGGCTCACGTCAGCAGCCACCAGGGGAAGGGAGAGGGCAGAGTCTCCTGAGAGCCCTGCAGCCTCTCGGGGTGAGAACAAGTGAAACCAGGGCACCTCCATGCAGAGAGGAGATGGAGGTGTGGGGCCCGTCCCCAGCCTGGGAGACCCCCATGCAGAGCACCTGGATGCTCTCACTCCATAGCTCAGGCCTCACTCAAGCTGGCCAGAGGTGTGCCTCCCACCCTGAGCCTGGATGCCCCCCACCTCAATTCCCAGTCTGGGCCCCAGAGCTCTGTTAGTTGAAGCCTAACCCTGACTGGCTGTCCTTCTGTATGGGGACAGGGCTCAAAAGCTCCCAGGAACCTCGAGCTTCCGGTTCAGTAGGTTTGGGTGGAGCCCATGCAGTCAGTATTTATTTTTTAAACACTTGAAGTGATTCTGATGTATGAGTCAGTGTGGTGGAAAAAGAATCCAGGCTGGGCTGGGAGAAGTCTGGATTCTCTGTTCTTCTCTGTGGCTAATCACCTGCGTGACTTTGGTGTTCTCATTCTGTGTCCCTAGCCATCTATTTCCTCATCAGTAAAACAGGGATAATCATTGCATTATGCTTCCTGTGTAGGATGAGCATGACTATCGAATGAGGTGATGAGGTAATGTTATAATGGGGTCCCAGGCTGCTCCTCAGCCCTGTCCAGTCATCTGGCCTAACTTGCTCGTGGCCCCCAAGAAGGCAGATGAGAGGATGCTGATGGCTCTGCACCATCCTGCCCCACTTCTAGGAACAGTGACTCAGGGCCTGTGCTGGCGATGCTCACAGGAGCATTTTATTTGTATTCTGGGAAGGGAGAAGATGGGGGAGAGTGTGGCTTCCCCAGGGCCAGCTCTCATCCCTTCCCTCCTGGCCCACACTGTGACTCTGTTTCATTCAGGTCTCTGTCACTGCAAGAGAAGATGTGCCTGCCTTTGGCCCACCTCTGCCCAGCCCCCCTGTTTTCCAGAAGGTAAGAAACTCTTCTTTCTGGTCCTCTCACATCCCAGACCCCAGGTTTTAATACTTGTGTGGCAGTGGTTGGAGTGGGGCAAGAATTCGGGCTGGGAACATTAGAGAAGCCCTTTTACCTCCCTGATGGAATCTCCTTACTTGGGGTCTCTCCTAATGCTGCCAGTCTGGCCCAGCACAGGGATCCTTGTTGGGGTGATTGATGCTGGAGTTGCCTTTCTGTGGAGAGAAGGGTTTTTATACTGTGCTCTGGTTCTAGGAGACTTGGGTGAGAATTCCCTGCAGTCATGGAAGTGTCACTGTGGGTGTGGAGGGTTGCTTTCCATGTTGGCCTATTAGCAGGTGGGCTTGGCCAGGGCTAGAAACGATCAAATGTCAGAAGGAAGCTTTCAGGGGCTGTCCCTAGACCCCCTGTTCTGCCTGCCTGTTACCGTGGCTGATGCCCTTTTGGCAATAGCCAAGGTTGGGAGAGTTCTGGGCCATCTTGTTTCTTCCAGGGCCCGGAGTTCAGGGAGTTTCTGCTCACCAAGCTCACCAATGCAGAGAACGCTTGCTGCAAGTCGGACAAGTTTGCAAAGCTGGAGGTGAGAGTGCAGTCGCTGAAGGTCTTCCTCCTGGCCCCTCTCCCAGGGGTCTGTTCTTGGGGGGAGCACAGTCTTTGCCCCTCTAAACCCTCAGCCCTATGTGGATGCAGGCACCCTTTCTTCCTGTGGAAACTCCATCCAGACTTCAGGTCTAGTTAACCATTCACCAATCATTTATTGAACACCTACTGTGTGCCAGCCCTGGGATACAGGGATAAGTGAGACACAGTCTCAGCCCTCATAAAGCTCACAGGCTAGTGGGAAGGGCTGTTACTAAAGAGTTATATTCAGTGTGCCAGCAGTGGACCGTGGTGCAGCCAGCACTGCTCAGAGGACAGTGACAGCTTCTGCCTGTGGGGGACTGAAGGGGGTGTTCAGGGGAGGCCTCTTGGAGGTGGTGGCTCTTGAGCTGCCATATCTTGATATCTGATATACCTTTTGCCAAGAAGAAAGAGTGGAGGAGGGTTATTCCAGGCATGGGAAACAGCATGAGAAAAGGCCAGGCAGAATGCGAGCACGGCTTCGTGAGGGAGCTCCTGAGGGTTTGGTATGGCTTGAGAGAAGGATTCACATGAGGCTGGAGTGGTGGGAGACTCAGCTGGAGATGCGGGTTGGGTCAGATCAAGAAGGGCTCTGAGCTAGAGGTGATGGGTGCTAATGTTCTCAGGCAGGAGAGTGATGCACTGGACCTGCATTTTACAGGGATTACTCTGACAGTGGTGAGGGGATTGATTGCAGGGAAGGAGATGTGGCAAGGTGGCTAGTTAGAAGCTGTTAACAGGAGTCCAGGGGAGATGATGAGGGACTTATGGTACAGGAGGAAATGGCTTAGGGTCAGAGTCAGGAAGACTTGATGGACTCCTGGAAGTAGGGGTAGGGGGAAGTGGAATTGGAGGGTGACCCTTAGGCCTCTGGCTTGGGCTCTTCAATGACATAGGGACGACTGGGAGGTGAGTTCTTTTAGGACCTGCTGATGTGGAGGTGCCTGCACAGGCGGGGTTGCTGAAAGGGCTAGCCCTGGTCTGTGTGAGTGGCGCCCCCTGGAGGCTATATGCATGGCCCTGGATGACCACCTGGAGAGGAGCAGGGGGCAGCTGGGTACATGGATGTGGAGCTTGGGCAGAGATCTGGGCTGGGAGTCACTGGGGCAGAGTGGTGGAGGGGTGGGATGGCCCAGGGAGAAGGGACAGAAGGATGAGAGCAGGGGGCCGGGCTCAGAGCACTAGTGTTAACTGCAGCATTTGTGAGGGTGAAACCCAACCTGGCTGTAGGTCCACGGCATTGCCAGGATGTGGTTGGGCAGAATAGCAGCCCGCAGGCCAGGTGTCTGGAGCCCATGAGGAGAGGGCACATCATCTCTGCTCTTGGTGCTATCTTCTCCACGCCTACCCTCCTCCCTTCCAGGACCGGACAAGGGCTGCCCTCCTGGACAACCTTCACGATGAGCTCCACACCCACACGCAGGTCATGCTGGGACTGGGGCCAGAGGAGGACAAGTTTGAGAACGGAGGCCATGGGGGATTCCTGGAGTCTTTTAAGGTACGGGCACAGAGTGATCGGGGGTTGCTATGGGAGGGAGGGATGGAGCAAAGAAAGGAGGCAGCCCAAGGTCCATGGGATCCTGACCCCAGAGCAATGATTCCTCCCAGCTGGTGGAGCACTGGAGGACCTGGCTGGGCTGGTGGGATAAAGTTACCGGTGAGTCCCTTTGGGCTTTGCGAAGGGAAGAACTCTCAACCTGAACAAACTGCTAAAGGAGGCAGAGAGCCCCCTGTCCGTGGAAGTATCAAGTGGAGCCTGGACAGCACTGAACGGGTGTGGGGAAGAGGAGGTCCTTCACCATGTGCTTGCAAAGTGCGTGTTGGTCCACACGGCACTTACATCCGGCATGTGATTTGAGCCTGGCTGTATCCTGTGCAGTTGGCCGAATGGGTCTTGTTATTTCCATTAACGCTCAAGGGGACAGGCTGAGAGAGGCCACAGGACTGCTCAAGACCTTACACGTGCTTGGAGGTAGAACCTTGTTTCAAACCCAGGCCTTTTGGTTCTTAGGTCAGTGTTCTGCTGGATTGCCCATTAGAGAGTGATTTATAAGCTACCGTTTGTAGGGTTAGGGTTAGACCTGCCTATATTCAAATCCCATCTCTATGTGATCCTGGGCACAGTCTTTAAAGTCTCTAAGCTACAGTTTCCTTGTCAACATCATGGATGATAAATAGGACCTCTGTTACAGAGTTGTGAGAATTCATTGAAATAATGCCTGCCAAGAAAAGTGCATTTTGCCTAGAATACGGCAAATGCTCAAAATTGTTAGCTGTTCTTGTTGTTTGTATAAAGTGAAAGCTGAACACACATTATCCCATCTTAAGCCTCACGACTACCCTCGTGCCCTCTGGGGAAGGCGATTATTCTGGGCATAGTAATTTTGGTATAATAATTCATACCCAATTTTAATAATTATGAGTGTAGTTTTGCATGTGAGGAAACTAAGATTCAGAGAGACTAATTTGTCCCAAGTCATTCAGCAGACAGAGTTGAATCCAGATCTGCTGGATTCCAAAGCCTGTGCTCTTAATGGCTATGTGGTACTGCCTCCCAGTTTCCGACTAGATTAAGATTCCACCCATACTAGGTTGGGCCTGGGATCAAGTCCTCACTGCCCGGCTGGACCGCAGAGAGTGGGGCATGTCTCTGCTGGCCCTCGTTGAGGCCAGCTGCTGAAATTCCTCACGGGGGTGGGAGGACGAACCAAACTGCGTGTCCAGGCTGGTGGGAGATTCCTGGGGCATCTGTTTTAGTCCTCATGGCGAGTGGCAGCCAAGGAGAAATAGAACTTGACAGATCAAGATGCAAGGGAGATGAGGGAGAAGGGGAACAGGGGAGGAAAGAGGGGGCCAGGTCGGTTAGCCCAGCTGAGAGAGGGGTGAACGTGAGACTCGGTCAGTGGTGAACAGGCGTAGGTCTGGGGAAGGCAGGTAAGCAGGGCCACTTAAAGGCCTTTGCAGGCTCGGCCCTGCCTCATAGCAAGCATATCAAAATGCTCCACACCCCACAGTGAGTGTAATTTATATACAGCTGTAAGAGCTGAGCTGCAGTTGACCAACGTGACGTTACATTTCATAGACATTTAATGAAGCATTTGTTCCTTTGAGTTTTGCAGATTTCTTTCTGTATTTTGGAGTTAATTGTTTTTCAGGTTTCAAATAGTTTTATATCCTGGGGAAGCTTGTAGGTTGTGGATACGCTGCCCATGGTGACCCATGGATGGGATGGCACGGCAGCTAAATATAGAGGGCAGGTCTAAAGGAGAGTGGCCTAAGGCCATTTTGTCCAATCCCTTGCCTCTGGTGGGAGTAACAGTTGATCTGTGTTTGGCTCCAGGGGGTCTGATGTATTCCCAAAGGGGTTTCCAAGAGAGGAGATGCTTCCAGATTTTATCATAATTCGTTTTTGACCCAATAATCCAGGGAACTCTTTTCCACCTTAAATCCTCACCACTGTAGGTTGAAGCCAGACCTCCTGCTTCCTTCTGCTCTCATGCCTGACTCCAGGTAGCGCTGAGGGGACTGTCACAGTCAGTCACACAGAGGAGGCCTGCAGAGCTCTGATGACTGTGGTCAGTTTGTTTGTCCTCCCAGCTGGGGAACACACACTCTTTTGCCCTGTCCCTTTCATCTTGCCCTCATGTCTCCTGTCGGGGAGGCCTGAGCTGGGGCCAGGCCAGTCTCAGTGACATATGGCCTGGGGGATTCTGATATTTGGGCCGTGCCTGTGGCCAGGCCTATAGGTCTGGCCCAGCTCAGGAAATCATCCCTGATTTTGGTATTTCTTCCTGGGTGCCTTGGATGATGTTCGAATTATTGGCATTCCTCATGGAGTTCACCCAGACCTCCACGGGATCCCTCTTGAAAGACGAGGTGCCTGAAATGATTTCAGGAAGAAAAGTCATGTGTTTTATCTCCTTCCCATCACAGTTCTCATCTTAGAGGCAGGTGGAACATAGCAGAATTCTCAGGGCTGAAAGCAATCTCACCTGTCTGTCCCCTCGCCTCTGGTGAGCTGGTTCTTCCCCCACCCTAGAGCACAGTGACCCTGTGACCATCCCCGGGGGAGCAGTCCCACTGGTGTCCCAGGCTGTGCTGCCTGCACCTCACACTACTCAGGATAGTTCTTCACGTCTCGCTTCAGTTCTGCCAGCTCTAATCGAAGCTTTTCTTCCACGAGGTACAAAACTGTTGGTTTATGTATATCTAGACCTGCTTTTCAAACTGAGCTGCTTGGAGATATTCTCAGGAATCTGCCAGTTCTACAAACACTTTTAAAGTTTGCATTTCCTCTTAGATCATGATCTAAAAAATATAAATTTCCAATTATAAAGAGTAAATGTTTGCAGCGGTAACTCCTGATGAAAAGTTGTATCTGTGGAATAAGCAGGTTAGGCATGAAGCTGGCACTGCAGATGTAGTGCATGGGACACTGGTGTTGGGGATTGGGGACGTATTCTTGGGAGTCTTGCAAGAATATTTTTCTTCATAAAGGAGCTGTACATTATTTACTTTTTTTTTTTTTTAAATTTTTATTTTGTCAATATACAATGTATATGATTATTATGGCCCTTCACCGACACCTCCCGCCCTCCTCCCTCTCTATTATTCACTTTTGAAAGAGATTAATCTCTAGACTATTATTCTCAAATGCCATTCTCAGCCACTGCCAGCTGTTGACAAGGTTTTTGTTGGTTCATAATGAAACAAAAAGAAAAAGTGACAGTATTGGATGTAGCCACATCATATGACATAAAGCACGTGTGTGCATTTTGAGAAATGTGGAGCTAGCCCCCTCTTCCAGTGACCTCATCATACAGATGCAGGAATGGAGCACCAGGGAGAAAGCCACCTAATTGCCCCAGAACACAGACCACAGCAAGCAGGGAGCTGTCAGGTCAATTTCTCCCGGCCTTTGAGGGACTGTGATAGCGAATGCATTGGTCTGACGTGACCCCTAGTGGCAGGAGAGGAGCACCAGGCTGCAGATAACCCCAGCAAAGTCTCTGTGGCCCCACGGTACCCGCAGGCAGGGGCAGTGGGGCAGCGCCCGCCATGGTGGGTAGAGTCCCCAGTCTTTGGCATCTCTGCCCTTCCTTTTCCTCCTGAGACAGGAGGCTGTGATATCAGGATGGCACTGCTGCCTGTGAGGGTCTCAGAAAGAGCTCAGGCCTTGTGCTTGGTTGGAGCCATGGTGGGTGGGAGTAGAGATGTCAGCCCTGTCCTGTCTTTGTCCTGCTGGAGGAACAGACGACTCTGTGCTGGACCTCAAAGTACTCCCTTATTAGAGCCACCTCAGCAGGCAAGAAGTGAACATCTTTGTCTCCAAGGGCCCTGCCTTTGTTGCTTGCCTGGTTCACATAGGCATGTCCCCATTGGCATCCTTCTCCTTGCTCTGTGTCCCTTGAGTTGAGTTGTTAAATTGAAACAACTCACAAAACCCACTTGTTAAGAGGCGAGGGGGGCGGTGGCAGAGAAGGGAATTGCTCCCTCTGTGATGCTAACTGGTGCTCAAAGCCCCGCTGAAAGGAAGTGACAAAAGCAGATAATGGGAAAGCAGATAGAGCGGAAAGCCTTCTGTTTTCTCACCCCCAAAGGGGAACCTGTTCATAGGTGATTAGTGAGGTGCACAGAGGGCTGGGAAACCTGGAACCGGAGATGACTGGCGGGGAGGAGAGCAGACTGAGGAGGGTCTGTGTGAAATGATGGCGTAGACTAGTCTAAGACTCCAAGGTCCGGAAATGGTAAGATTTCAGGTTGGCGTGCAGAACTTCGCCAAGGTCAGGTTGTCCACCACTAGAACAGGTAGCCTGGAAAATAGCAAGTGGCCTGTCCCTGGAGGATTCAAGCAGAGGAGAGAGGAACTTTGCAGGGCAGGTACAAGGGACTGAGAGGGAGACAGCACAGGTGGTCCCTGTGGTCCCTGGAGACCTAGTGACGATGCAAAGCCTTCGTGTGCCTGTCCCTCTCTCGCCTGCCTCCCTCTTTCCTGCCGTGGCCTTCCTTTCTCTTCTTTACCCTTGATGAACTCTTCTGCCCAGTTTGAGAAGGCTAGTGCTTCTGTCCAGCTGTACATCCAGCTCTATGTTCATCCAAATGAAGCATTACTTTAGGGCTTAGAGGTAGCCATCACCCCCCTAAGAGCTGGGGAGGACAGCTGACCCTGAGCAGGCAGTCTCATGCCAGGGGGAGGTCATACACTGTCTCATATCATTCTCATGACAGCTGTTCACAACAGGGACATCATAGCATTGTACAGACAGAGACTGCCTCCCACAGAGGTTCATGCACCCAGCCATGGGAAGAACCGCATTCAGCCCCTTCCTGTTTGCTTTGGGCTGGAGACCACCACTCTGCACTCCCCGGAGTTCTCCGTCAGCCCTTGTGTCCTTGTGTCAGAGTCTCGCCGACTCTGACAGCAGCACCAGGGGTATTTGAGGAGATGGGGTCTTCCCTGGGATCTAGGGACCCTTTTGTCTGGCGCCCAGGGTCCTGGATTTGGGTCCTGGCTCCATATCTTACCTGCTGTGTGGCCTTGGTTGCCATTTGCCTTTCAAAACCTTTTCTATCCAATGCCTGTCCCATTTTTATCGTATATGTGAAGCTCATTAGACCAGATGCCATCACACAGGGCTTATTATCCACATTGAGTCCTTTCTGGGAAAGAGACAGTGAGGAATATATCAGAACATAAACAATTGGTTTGAAATGTCATTGTTGATGATGATAGTGGTGGTGGCAACACACGAGGCACCAAATGAACGTAAAGACGCTGATTTATGGAGCACTGAACTCATCTAAGGAAGCTCGCTATTCATACAGAGACGCCTCAGTGGGACGTCACGCCTTTCCCGCTCTCAGTTTTCCAAAAGGTTCACGACTCTGTGATGCTTGGGTGATGCAGCGAGTAGGACCTGCCGGCTGTTTTAACTTTGTTGCGGGAAAGCCGTTGCTATGTCATTCTGTTCTGTGGTGTCGAAAGGGAGAGAGATCATGTCCCTCAATAGGCGTCTTTGACTCAGACGAGAGGGGCCAGATGACATCAGGGGCATGAGGCTGCTGCGCTCCATGCCTCCTTCTCAGTAGGTAATCTCGGGGGCCGTCATATTTACAAAAGCCCTTCCTGAGTTGGCTTCCTTTGTCAGAATAGAAAGGCAGGCAGGATGGGGTCCTTTATCATTCCAAAATGTGGAGAATTCCTGGCCTTGGGTGACCCCAGGGAGATCTGCTATTTGGATTGGGAGCAGTATTCATGCTGTTTTCCTGGGACCATCTTGCTGCAGAATGAGCTCTTTTCTGGATGCCTCCAAGGAGAGAAGGGGCTTCGCTCTTCCATATGAGACCATCTGTAGGTTGGCGAGTGGGACATAAGATGACATGTGTTTGTGTGTGCATGGGTATGAATCCAGAGAGGCAAGGCACAGGGTCCACAAGTGAATCTTCTGCATCAGTTTTCTGAAGCTGGGGTTCTGAGAATACCCTACCTTGACTGGCTCACACCATTGCTAAGGAAAATCCATTAGCTCACGTAACAAGACCCAGGTGACTCCTAGTTCAGTTGCTCATTGGCACCCAGGTTCTTTCCGTCTTTCCTCTCTACCATCTTTGGCTTGTCAGCTTTGACCCTCAGGCTTGGCCCCTCACAGCCCCAAGACGGCTACTGTGGTTACAGGTGCAGACGTGCCACATCTCTTTTGGAAATCATTGAGGGAACCTTTCTCGAAAGCCTCCAGCCGACATCCCCTCATGTTCCACGGGCAAGGGGATGGGTTAAGTGACCATCTTAGACTGATTATGACTTACTACTCCTGCGTCCCATGGAGGACGAGGAGACATTGGACTAGGCTATAGCTCTGCCACGGAAGGGTGTGTGGGAGATGGTACTTGTATGTGAGCAGCTGATAATATCCATGTGCAGGAGTCTTTGCCCTGGGGGGCCCTGGACAACTAAGTAATGCAGAGGGAGTGCCCCACAGGCCCTGGGTCTTTTAGCATTGCCCCAGTCTTAGGAATATCTCTGGGGCACTCTTTGGAGGCGGGGGCTGGGCCTCACACCTCTTTGACCTCCCTTCTGCAGTTCTTCCAGTTCCCGGCACAGCGCTGGGTGCACGGGAAGCATGCAATGTATGCTTATTTACAATAAGTGGAGCTACCTTTATCAGACTTATGATGTGCCAGGCTCTTTCCTAAGAGCTTTATATGTATTCTTACGACAACCCCATGGTGTAGACATCCAGCTAGCGGGTGGTGGAGGGGGGAGCCCAGATATGAATCCTAGCAGTGCAGCCCTAAAGCTTTTGTGCTTTTGACTGCTCAGTTGCATTGCCACCTGGCCACATTATTGAATGACCAGACAAATGATCACAGGGAAGTGATGCAAAGGTTTGGGGCTCACTGGAGAGAAACTCCTCTTCCTAGAGCGCTCACGTCATCTTCGAAGGCCTCAGGAGCCAGAGAGAGCACTGTTCATGTGTAGCCAGGATCCTCTAAGGCTTCACTTGCTAGGAGGTCCCCCTGCAGGTCGAGTTGAGCTCTGTCTCACTGTTCTCCTTTGGTCCAATCCAGAGCACTGCAGCCCTGTAGAGCAGTCTGAGGGGCTGGTTGTCAATACCATAGGCTCGGCAATCTTGGTTTTTAGCTGCTGTTCTTGTTCTCACATGTACTTTCACAAACACCTCACTGTCCTGGTTGTCCTCTCCTGGATTCTTCTTCCTTTGCCAACATGCACTTTGGTGGCCCTCAGTGAGCATGAGGCTCTTCGTGGCCTGAGCAGCCCTGTGCCCGAGACCCTGCACCTCTGCCCAGTCGGAGTGCGCATCTCCTCTTTCCACAGCTGCATCAGAACATGGGCTTGTAACCCAAGTGCACCCTGAGCCCTGCAGGTGTGAGGGATGGTCAGAGCGTGGCTTGGTGCAGGGATGAGTAAGAGCTCCTCGTACGGTCTCCTCCGCAAAGGCGGGTGTAGTCCACATTACACAGAGCACACTCTGGGAAGGCAGCAGAAGGGCCAGCCAGTGTGCAAATATAGAAGGAAGCTTAGTTTTCTGGAAAAAAGAGTCAAGGCACCTGACAGTGTTTAATCCCTACCCCAATCCTACATGGAACATATAATTCCCATTTTATAGATGAGGGAGCTGTAGCTTAGAGAGGCTGGTAATGAGACCCATGTTCCACAGGTTTGGTGAGCTCCAGCCCTCACTTTCCTTACCTGTAGGATGAAGATAAAAACCTTTGTTCACTATGCAGGGGAGCTGGAGCACTGACCCCTCAGCGTCTCCCTGCCCAGTGTCCTGCTGTGCCTCTGCCCATGGCCAGAGCATAGGACAGAACATGGGAAAATTCTCTGTAAACTGTAGAGGTGGTAGTGTGGGCCTCTGTAACTGTGTGTGTCTGTGTGTGCACATGTGCACAGGGGCTGTGTCTGCAGACCCCACGAAGAAGGCAAGGTCATCCAGAGGGACCAGGTCCTGACTCTCAAACCCTTGTCATCTCTCCCACCCCCAATCTCCCCACAGAGGGCCATCCGTGTGCGTAGCCACTCAATGGAGACCATGGTGGGCAGCCAGAAGAAGCAGCACAGTGGGGGTATCCCCGGCAGCCTCAGCGGGGGCATCTCCCACAACAGCATGGAGGTCACCAAGACTACCTTCTCGGTGAGTGCCGGCAGGCCCTGGGGCAGTATGTGGGGTTGGGGGAGGGTCCCCCAGAGCTATGGAGGAAGGGTACTCCCACTCAGGCTTGGGCTAGGTGGCTAGAGCAGGGCAGGCTGGATGAAGGGGGGAAACAGGCTGCTTGGGGGCTGACCCTAGCAGGGCGACCTCTGAAAATGGTCCTTTATTGATTGAAAACTGAAAAAAAACCAAACAAAAAAACAAAAAAATAAAATGGGCCTTTGGAGCCTCCATCCCAGGCAGCACCTTGGGGTGGGCCAGACCAGGTACCCTCTTGTTCTGTTCTCTGAGTTTCCTGACAACTGGGCCCCCTCCTTGGGGCTAGCCCTACAAAATGGTCCTGGGGTGTGTTTCTCTGCTCAGGGGCTTGGGACCCATAGTTGTGAGAGGGGTATACTTGCTTTGTCATTAATGATAGCAGTAGCCACCCCCAGCTTGCTGTGAATCAGGCACTGAGCAAGGTAATTCAGGGACAAGATCTCACCTGATGTCTGTAACAGCTGCCTGAGGTAGGTACTGGTGTGTTCTCCAGTCCACATTTGAGGAAAAGGAGGCTCGGAGGGGTTAAGTAATTTGCTAAAGGTCACGTAGCTAAGCCGAAGAGCTGGAATTTGAATGCAGGTCTTCCTGGTCCAAACTCTATGCTCTTCACCACTCTGTATACAATTCCCAAGGAAAGAGGGCCCTGCAGGTTTCGGCCTGGTTGACTTGCACCAGGGACTGCAGATGTGAGGTAACCACATAGTCAGTCTTTTTGTAAAGCAAAGTCGCTTTAGACTTGTACAGATGGATTGACTCTTCTTTTTTTTTTGACATCTGGCTGGTACGGAGATCTGAACCCTTGACCTGGATGTTACCAACATCATGCTCTAACTGGCCAGCCTTTTTTTTTTTTTTTTTTTTTTTGTCTTTTTTGTGACCAGTAAGGGGATCGCAACCCTTGGCTTGGTGTCGCCCGCACCGTACTCAGCCAGTGAGCACACCGGTCATCCCTATATAGGATCTGAACCCACAGTGGGAGCGTCGCTGCACTCCCAGCGCTGCACTCTCCCGAGTGAGCCACGGGGTCGGCCCAGCCTTCTTTTTTTTAATAGCAGTACAGACCCACCATGATACTAACGATTAGTATTATAATGGCCTTGCATAATTAATTTCATATTCCAGATATTTTCATAGCTATTATCTTGTTTCCCCCAGAAGGTCCATGAAGTGAGCAGAGCAAGGCACTTACCTCCATTCTGTGGATGGGGAGATTGAGGCCCCGAGAGTTTCACCGTTTGCCCAAGGTTGCACAGCATGTGCATGGCAGAAGTTGGGTCTGGCTTGGAGGCCTGGTGGTCTCTAAAGTTTGGCTCCAGACTCCTGTCTCCCTTTCCTCAAACTCCCGCCACTCCACTGTCCCCCTGTGAGGCCATACAACTGTCCCAAGTGGGAACCTGCCTGGGTTGGCTCCCCCCATCTGTCAGTGCATGTGAACCTGGCTCTGTGGCTCTCATTCTGTCTTGTTATTGTGACACTTGCCTGGGTGGTGGTAACATCCCCTGAGCGAGAACATGAGGACAAGGCTCCATTTATTTGTGGACAGTGGATGGAGAGTGAGAGCTTTGGGTTCTTGGCCTCATCCTGCCGGTGACTTGCCAGATGACCTTGGCAAAACCCCCCACCTCTCTGGTCCTCAGCTTCCTCATGGGTAAAGGAAGAGGTCGAGCCAGGTCACTACAAGGGCTCTCTGGCTTTGTGGCTCTCAGTCTATGACCCCCTGAGTCATCCTGATCTTCTCCATATGTGGGGCTCCCCTTTTGGTGGCCCTGACCCTGTGTTCCTCCAAGAGTTCTGGTCTTTGGTGGGTCATTAGCTGCGGCCCAAGGCTTGGCTTAAGAGCACAGAAGAGGCTACAAGAAGCTTGAGTGTCAGGGTCTCAGCTTCTGTTCCGTAGATCCCAACCTTCCTAGCAGTCTTGCTATTTTCTGGGGTCTCCTTCAGACCAGGAGCCATTTGTAGACTGGGCAGGGTGATGAAGGGAAGGAGATCTGGGTTTGGGCTGTAAGCACTCATTTTCGTGGTTTCATTGGCAGCCTCCGGTGGCGGTGGCAGTGGTGAAGAACCAGTCACGGAGTCCCATCAAGCGGCGGTCGGGGCTCTTCCCTCGTCTGCACACAGGCTCTGAAGGCCAGGGGGACAGCCGGACAAGATGGTAACTGTTGGGGGCCCCCAGCCACCCCCACTGTGGGGTCTGTCAGCTCTTTCCACTGCTACAGCTGTCAGATGCCCAACTTTGGGGAGAGCATTGCTTAGCTTTGGGAGACAGCTTCCCCCTAATCCTAATCCCCTAATCCCAGCCCACTTTCAGGCATCTGCATGTCCCTGTCACTCCCTCCTCTGAGGCTGATTTGGCCAGTCTCTGCACGGGACTTTTCCAAAGTTGTTTTTGTAGCATTTTGACCCATGCTAGAAACATTGCTTGGGTTCTTCTGTCTTTGCCTTCTCTTTCGATACTTATTCAAATGTCTCCTCTTACAAAAGTCTTCCCTGATTCTGCCAGGCAGAGTTAATTGAACCTTCCTTTGGACTTCTAGAATGTTCTTTTGGACTTCTAGGATGTTCTGTGCCGCTTTTTGTTTTTAAAGCAACTCTCATATTACCCTATTTCACCTGCTCTTGCTTACTGTCTTTCTGATCCATTAGTCGGTGAGCCTGTCTGTTCTTTAGGTGAGCAAGCAGCATTTATTGAGTTCCTGCCTTGTGCTGGGCACAGGGCTGAGTGCTCAGACAAGTGCTACAGGGAAGCTTACAGTCTTGTGAGGGAGGCATTTAGACTGACTTCCAGGTTTCCAAGTTGTCTGCCTGTAGCCATGGGTGGTGGTACTATCCCCTGAGTGAGGGCATGAGGACAAGGGTCAGGTTTAGGGAGGAGGATGAAAAGCTCTGTTTGGAACCTGGGCCTGTGAGTCTCGTTGCCACCCAGTAGAGCTGTCCAGGGAGTGGTTAGAACTGCAGGTGTCGAGTTTAGGAGATGCCTTGACTGGAGGAGAGCTGGGAGTAACTGGGGTAGAGGTGGTGGTTAAAGATGGATTAACAAATATGACCACCCAGAGAAGGTGTGTGGAGCACCAGCATTTCAGGACAAGTGTGGAGAGGAGAAATTCCAGGAGGGAGGGATGCCGGTGTCAGAGGTGCACAGAAGTCCAGCACAGTGACCAAAACCCCTGCCTGGGCTGACATTTAGGAGGTCATTAGCAACCTCATCTAAAGTTCATTGAGGTACTTCACACCTCTAGGGTGGCTATAATTAAAAGGACAAATAATAACAGAGGTTAGAGAGGATATGGAGAAATTGGAACCCTCGCCCACTGATGGTAGGAATGTGAAATAGAGCAACTCCTTTGGAAAACAGTCTGGCAGCTCCTCAGAAGGTGGAACATAGAGTTATCATATGACCCACGAATTCTACTCCTACGTGTGTATCCAACAGAATTTAAAACTGTTGTACAAGGAGTGCACAGACTTTCATAGCTGCATCATTCATAATAGCCCAAAGTGGAAGCAATCCAAATGTTCATGGGCTGATGAATAGATAATAAAATGTGGTCTATCCGTAAAATGGAATATTGTTTTGTAATAAAAAGGAATGAAGTACTGGTACTTGCTATAACATACATGAACCTTGAAAACATTTTGCTAACTGAAAGAAGCCAGACACAAACCCCACAACATATTATATGAGGTCATTTATATCAATTGTCCAGAACAGACAGATCCATACTGACAGAGAGTAGATTAGTGACTGCCAGGGTTGGGGGAGAGTGGAATGGGAGTGATTTCTTTTGGGTGGCCAAAAATGTTCTAAAATTAGATTGTGGTGATGGTTGCACAACTCTGTGATTATGCTAAAAACCATTGATCGTACACTTTAAATAGGTGAGTTGTATGGTATGTGGATTATATCTCATAATGCTGTTACTAAAAATAAGTGCCTTAAAGACAGGGCCATTATGTCCCCAACAGCTAGCACAGGTAAATAGTGGGCACTGGTACGTGGCCTTTGTTAAACTAGAGGAGAAGGAAACTCTTGGGTCCCTGGACTGAAAGTAGCTCTTGACTTCCCAGGGCCACCTCGTCACAGGGGTCCTGGGAAGGGGGTCCCCCGGAGTTCTACAGCGGGCGGCCTTCTTGCACCTCCCAGGAGTCTATGTGTATTGGGTTGTTTCCTGCTGTGTTGCAGACCCCATTCCACTCCCAGTGTTGACCCATAGCTCTTCCAGGTGGGATGACCAGCTTGGGTGAGAGGTAGATTAGACTAGAGGCCATCCAGCCAGGATTCCTGATGGTAGCTCTGGACTCTCACCCATGAACCTAGAGTAGCCCCTGCTCGAGGGAGCACAAAACCCTGTTTTCTGCCAGTCTCAGCGGATCTCTGGTGGGAAAGGAAGTCCTGGCAGCCATGCTTTGGTACGGGGTGCTCTGACCCCACAGTTCCCCATGGTCCCCAGAGCTGGCCGGCAGAGACTGGGCCTGGGGCCTGGGGTGGGGTGGGGGTGAGGGGGTTGGTTTCCTGGCCTCACGCCTCTTCATTCCATTCCGTCAGTGACAGTACATCCAGCACTCCCAAGACCCCGGATGGTGGACACTCTTCTCAGGAGATAAAGTCTGAGACCTCGTCCAATCCCAGCTCTCCGGAAATCTGTACCAACAAAGAGAAGTAAGGGAGCGAGGGGAGGGGAAGGCTGGCTCTCAACATTTGCAGCCCTGGAATGTGCTGTCTGCCTCCAGGCACGCTGAGAGGGACTCTCTTGTCTCTGGAACTCTCTGGAACACAGAGGCCAACAGGCAGGGGCACCGGGGGCCGCCAGTGGGCAAGCTCAGATCTCTGCTGGGCCTGCCCTGCTCTTGGTCCTGGGGAGGGCCAAGGGAGGAGGAGTCTCGGCGTGTGACCAGGGACTCACAGCCAGGTGGCCTTGCCTCCCACTCCCCGCAGGCCCTTCATAAAGTTGAAGGAGAATGGCCGAGCCAACATCTCCCGCTCCTCCTCCAGCACCAGCAGCTTCAGCAGCACTGCCGGGGAGGGCGAGGCCATGGAGGAGTGTGACAGCGGGGTAGGTGTGCCCCGTCCCGCCTTGGCAGGGGCACTCTGGGGCCCAGCCAGCCGCCCACTCTGTACTTTAAAATAGCTGCTGTGGGCAGGTCTCCACTTCAGTCTTTACAGACATAAGGGGAGAGATGGAAACGAGAGGTGGCCCAGTCAGCCATCACCACTGTCTGGGAGCACTGGGGAGGGGGAGGTTCTCTCGGAGTGACAAAGCAGCAGCAGCAGAGGGACAGAAGCCATGCTAAATGGTGTCCCTGCCATGGGGTTCCTGGCTGGAGAGATGAGGGGTCAGTGCTCCCGGGGGCTGGGTTAGGGGTGCCTCCTGGAGGGGGAGAGGTTGGAGCCAGGGTTGAGGGCAGCGGGGAGGAAAGAGCAGGTACAAGTGGGCGTGGGAGGCAGTGGCTGCCCTGGGCTTGCCGGGGCCTGTCTCAGGCCTGTCCGGGCACAGGCCACCTGTGGGGCTGCCGAGGGTGGGCTGGCCTCGCTCACCCAGTCTCTCTCCCCAGAGCAGCCAGCCTTCCACAACCTCGCCCTTCAAGCAGGAGGTGTTTGTCTACAGCCCGTCCCCAAGCAACGAGAGCCCCAGTCTGGGGACAACCGCCACCCCCATCATCATGAGCCGGAGTCCCACGGGTCAGTGTCATCTGGTGGTGTGCATGATGTGGCTGGGAGGGCGGGGCCATGCCCTGACCCCTGTCCTGGGGCATGTGGCCCAGGCACGCTGAACTGGCCAGTGTCCACTCCTCCTCCCAGGCCTCCCAGGTGTTGGTCCTTCAGCTCTGCCAGCTCACTGCATGTGTTCATCAGCCTTAAGAGGCCCGTGTTCTTATCCTCTCCTTATGTGTGGGGAAACCGAGGCTCAGAAGGTTGAATGATTTGCTGGGGATCCTGTAGTGAGGAGTCAGGACTGTGTGATTAGAAAGCTGAATTCGTTCCATTGACCTCTCCCCCTGCCTCATCAGCTGTAGCGAAGATCCCCATAATGTAAGGCTGCAAGGCGGGAAGAGTGTTGCAGGCGGAGGGAACGGCATGCGGAAAGACCTGGAGAAAATGAGAGACCGAGTGTTCTGGAGCTGCTGGTGGTTCAGTGTGGCTGGAGTTCATGGAGGGGAGGGTGTGAGAGGAGAGACAGGTTGGCCTGCGGACCAGCTGGAGTGGATTTTGGTGTTATCCTCCTGGCAGCGGAAGCCTCGGATGGTCTTAAGTCTTTGCATGTTCTTAAGTAGAGAAGCACCATCTGGAGTTGAGAAGACCATTTTGGCGGCCGTAGCTGCCGAGTGTAGAAAGGCTCCGTGGGGAGCAGTACAACAGTGAGGGTCACCACGGGGTGGTGAGGGGTAATGGGCCGTAGGAGAAGGACATGGGTTCAAGAGTTGTCGAGGAGGTAAAATCTTCAGTAGTGGAGGTTCGGGGAGAGCAGGAGACTGGACCTTTTGGTGTTCTGCGGTCTCTAGTGGAGCAGAGTAGGAGGAGCCAGCTCTGTGGGGAGGGAGAAGGGCTGGCACCCGAGGGCCATCTAAGTGGACCTGAGCTGTAGGCACTGTGGGGCGGGTGCTGTGATGCCCAGAAAGCAAAGCCGTGGTCCCCACTCTCGGGGAGGGCAGCACAGCACAGGGCAAGTGCAGTGCTCTAGAGCCTGGTCCAAATCCTGGGTCTACCACTTACTAGCAACGTGACGTTGGGCAAGGTACTGAGCTTTGCTGTGCCTCAGTTTCTCCAAGCAAGAAATGAACGGAGGGGAATAGTAGTTTCCACCTCATAGGGTTGGTTGTGTGAAGATTAAACAAACTCATGCTTGTAAGGTACAGAACTGTTAACCTAAATGCTAAATAACTGGACTAAAACAATTGTGTAGTCAGTGGTTCTCAACTGGGGGCAGTTTTACTGCCCAGGGGACAGTTGGTAATGTCTGGAGACATTTTTGATTTTCGTGATTGTGGGAGGAGGGTGCTACTGGCATCTAGTGGGTAGAGGACAGGGATGCTGCTAAGCAGTGTAAAGGACAGGCCGCCACAACGAAGAAGCATCCAGCCCAAAATGTCACTAGGTTGAGAAACTCTATAGTCTAAATGGTAGAAACATGGGAAGGACCAATGGGCCATCAGAGTGGTTTAAACCAACCAAAATGCTTCTGGGGTTCTCACAGTGAAGAGGTGTTGACAAAGGGAACACAAAATGCCAGGGGATAGAGGGAAGATTGTGGCTCCAAAGCAAACAGTCCTTTGTGTCAGGGCTTCCCAGCTGACAGAGCAGTTCACGCACTTCCTCTCTTTCAACCCTCTGTGGTTGGGCAGCTGTGGAGCTGGGTTCTAATCCTCGTTGTGGCATTGAGCCTCAGTTTCCTCATCTGTAAAATGGGGTGGTAATGCAAATTCCCTGATGTTTTAAAATAAGTTTTAATTAAATATTGTGGGAATTAATGAAAGAATCTGTAATCAAGCCTGGCTCCTAATTGGTGTTAAATAAATATCAGAATAAATAAGGTGTTGAGTAAAGGAAGGTTTAGAGAGTGTCCACTACTTGCTGAATGTCACCCAGGGCAGAAGGGACCTGGAACGGGCCTAGTACTGCTTGCCCAGCACTCACTAAACCACGCAGTGATGTGTCTCCCTACATAGACCCTTCCCTCCACGTAGCGTTCAGCCCTAATGGGATGCTTTTTACCTCCAGCCCCAAGAAAGCTGTGCTGTGTACCTGCAGGATCAGGGTGCGCTTGGGGAGATCTGGAAACCTGTTTTAGGCTGTTCAGCTGAGTCTGGGGAGAGGCAGGGCCAAGGGGAGGGAGGTGGCCTGGGAGGGCCTGACGTCCAGTCTTCCATAACCTCAGATGCCTGGTCATTGGTTGTTTCACTCCTGGGCTCCCTGGGTCCCAGGAGGGGATTGGCAGGGTCACACAGAGAGGTGCTTGTAGTGCTGGGTGGAACCCCTTGATTTGAAGCACCAGGAGTCAGTCCGCAGCCTCCAGGTGGACTGTACCAGGCTGTAGGTTCCCATGGCCAGAGGAAAACCTGAAAGCCAGTAGCCCTCCTGCCAGTGGTGTAGTGGTGAATGTTTAACGACTGGCGCTCCCACCACCCACACACGTTTATTGTAAATTTTACTGATATAATGGATCTGAAGCACACAGTTTACACATGATGATAAAATGTACAATATTCTTTACTGTAAATCCTGTATATCCGATTGATTCTCACAAGATGCTTTTATTGATATTTGCCTAACCTTTGTGTCTGTAGCCAACTTGAGTTTGCAGCTAACAAGCTGATTGATATTATTGTTTATGTTACTAAGCACTTTATACTAAGAGAACTTCATTCGTCAGTTACGTGAGCAGTGTCTTTGCTGAATTGGTAGTAATTATCAAATACCGGAAGAATATTTACTCAGTTTTTTTGTGCTATTCACAAGGTAATGGCAGCAGACACAACACATTTTCAAGTTTCATCTACATGATTATTTTCTCCATTAGGCTCTTAAGTCTAGACAACAAAACAGTACAAATCAAGCCCTGATTTGTAGCACTTGCCAATTTCTGTGGTGTAAATCCTCCTATCATGGTTAATCTCAAGCTACCAATGTGATGTCCCTGAACGTGGAGCTGGGAAAAGATGCACAGTGGCCACCGTCAGAGGGGTTTCTACCACGTGGATACAATAGATGTGAGAGAATAGGTAATCGTAAAACACAGTAAAATAACTAAAAGTGATGACTTTTGAATATTTATTACCTTTATTGAATAACATTTATTTACTTATAAGCCTAATGGAGGGGACAGGCCCGCTAGAGTGCCTAGTGGAGGGGACGAGGCCCCCTTCTTCAGGCCTTTCTACCCAGTCCCCCCACACAGCCCCAGTGACCTCTGCTGCTCCACCCTCTTTTCATGGGCATTCCTCTTTTTCTTAGATACCAAAAGCAGAAACTCCCCGAGATCAAACCTGAAATTCCGCTTTGACAAGCTCAGCCATGCCAGCTCCAGTGCGGTAAGGATATGGGAACGGCCCCTTGCACCCTACGTCCCACTTACCTCCAAAGGCCAGCCTTCTTTCCTGTGGGCTGGAGAAAGAGGCATCTCAGATATCACACTGGGGGGCCCCCGAAGGAGGCAGGGGAAGGAAAGCTGTGGTCAGATCTGGGGTGACACCATCTGCTCCTACCTGGTGCAGGCGTCAGCCAGGGGGTCGCCAGACACCTTTGCCATACCCTGAGTTAGAGCCATACCCTTGGACACAGCCATGCCCAGATGTGAGTTGTGGCCTGTTGGCTCTGGGGGGCCCCATATCCCTTCCCGAGCTCACCAGATTGTTGAGAGCTGAGTGCACAGAAGCTGTAGCTGAAGGGATATGCTGTCTGGTTACCTAAAACTCTTGAATGGATTTTCTTGGCATAGGGTCACTAATGTGAAAGAGGAGTCCTTTGCCTGTCCAAGGTGGGTCAAGTGAGTATTTTTCCTGCTGTGGTTGTGAGGGGGGATGTGTGTTCCTTTAACATCGGGGTACTAGTGGCCTTATAACCTGTGAATGGCCAGAGAGATCCTGCCAGCTGGGAGGCCCAAAAGTCATCTCACCCCCGAAGCCGCTGTGATGGGGCTTCCCCAGGTCTGGATGAGGAAGAAGGGGCAGATGGCAGGGGCGGATGGTATGGATGGGAAGGCTTGCCCAAGAGGGTGGGATGGACTCCCAAAATTGTTCTGCCTTCCCCTGGATGGAGTGTGGTTCCAGCAGACAGAAGAGGCAGTGGCCCAGAGCTGCTCTTTTCCCTGGTGGGAGGAGTTCCTCAGGTTGTCCTCTTGCTCCCCTGCTCCCAGGCAGGCTCCCCTCCTGTGTCTTTGGCCAAAGCTCTAGGCTGGGATGTGTCCTCCCCACATGCCGAGAGAGGCCCCTGCCCGTCAACACTGTGAGGCACAACACGGGGGAGGCCTCTGCTCCTGGCCCCAGCCGAGGGGGTGTGGTCCAGCTCACCCCACCGAGGTCTGACCTTCTGCTGGTGAAGTCACCAGGGACGCATCTGAACCCCCAGCCCTCTCCCCACATGGGGCTCCCAGGGGTATGAGTCACAGGTGAAACCAAGGCAGGGGTACAGCTCAGCCCACTTTATGTTGAACCTGATTTATGAAAAAGCAGAGGAGAAGATGGGAATGTCCACATTCACCTCCAGCTCTCATCATGTACTTCAGCTGCCTCTGTTTACCAAAGGGATGTTCACGCCCAGCTCCTCGGCCTGTATAAAGCTGGGCGCCCTTGTATTTGGCGCCCTCCTTGTCCTAAGTGTATTCAGTTGGCTGTGGCCATGGCATGTGCGCTCCCACCCCAAGGTCTGCGTCGTTAGCGTTGTGTCCTTCCTTCCTTTACTGAATATTTGGTCATCATCTCCCTCCTCCTTGTCTTCTCCAGGGAAGTCCTGATTCTGTCCCAGAGAAGGCTCCTGTTCCAGCAGTTTGGGGGTGCCACCCACTACTATGACCGTCACTGGTACACTGCCCCACCGGCCACCTGCCCACTGACCAGCTGTATGTCCCAGTGTCTCGACCCAGCCACAGCCCTGCCCACCCCTTTGCCAGCACAGCCTGCAAGCACCTCCCCATCTCTGGACAAGGCCTTATTCTTTGAGGCTCCCCTGTTCCTGACCTCCTGATGTGATATCTGTCTGGGTCATTTGTCATCTTGTTTTGTCTGCAGAGGAAAAGAGAGTTGGGCAGGGGGGGATCTGGGTGCCAGGGGCTCAGCCAGAGGCCAGGGAGTTTGTCTGCCTCAGAGGCAGAGAGAGTGGCGAGGTGGGAGCAGAGGCCACCAGCAGGGCATGGCGCCCTGGTGGGGGGTGGCAAAGGCGGGCCTGTCTGTCCTCAGTCACAGTGCAGTGCCTTCCTGGACATGGTGGGCGGGAGGATTCACCACCACGGATGCATTTGGTGGTGGTGGAAGGGCCGCTTTTCCAGGAGCCAAGATTCGTACCATCCTCAAGGCAGTCCTGATAAAAATTGGCTCTGTTGCCCCTGTGGCTCCGGAGCTCCACAGAATCTGTCTGCTCTGCTAGGAATTTCTTACCATCTGCTGACATAGGCCCAGGGCTGCCTTCGTCCCCAGTGCCAGCGTACCCTGAGTGGGGCTCGGGCGGTTGAGGCTGGGAGCAGGAGCTGGGCATGGCCGGGACTGGGCAGCGCGCCTTCTTGCAGGAGGTGGACCGTTTCATCCTGCCTCGTCTCACACGGGCTCCTGATTATCGTTGCTGTGGGAGAAGCCCTGTGGCAGTCTCTCCCCTTCCAGCAGATATTTTTCCCATGAAGGGTGGGCGGCCGGGAGTGAGAAGGAATTCAGGGAGAGAGGATGAGCCAGGGCTGGGTGTTGGTTAGTTGAGGAGAGCCTCAGGGCCCGGGTGCTAGGCGGGGATCCAGGTCCCTGCGGGCTGTGGAGGTTCCAGGAGACAGTTTCTTCCCCCCACCACTTAGGTGAGAGCAGGAGAGGTGAGGTGGGGCATGACATGGCAGGTCTGGTCAGGGCAGTGTGTGGGGTTGAACTTAGGTGTAGGGAAGGTGCAGTTTATGTGGGGCACCCAGCGCTGCCTTGGGGGCCATTTCCAGCTCCTGTGTCCTTTGTCTGGGGCTCGATCCTCCAATCCTCTTCCCCTCTTCAGCTGCAGGTCTGTTGGCAGTTGTCACATCTGTAGGATTCCTGCCACCCAGGCCCCATCTGGGTGTGGGTCAGACATCGTGTGCTGCCTGCTCCCAGCCAGAGCTGCCTTTGCTGGGACGAGCTAGCTGGCTCTCTGAGGAGCAGCCCCTTCTTGGCTTCTCCCTCATCCGAATGTGCAGTGTGATGGGGCATTTCTGCTGACTGGCGCTGGCTCAGTTTAAGGTGGGGTGTCCTGAAAGTAAAACATAGAGTCTGAAGAGCAGAGACTTGGAGGTGCTGCGGTGTCCACTGCTCGTGGGGCTGCCAGAACAGCTGGCACGGGGCTGCTGGGTGACGCTGGCTGGGTTTGCACTTTAATGAGCGGATGTCAAGGATTTCCAGCCAAGTGCTTTATTTGCAAAGGACTCTGGGCCTATTCCCAAGTCAAAGTTACAAGTGTCAAATGTTACACTTTTTTGGACTTATATTGTGAAAATTTCCCCACTGCTTTTGCCATTAGAGCAAAATTTTGATCCTTTGTCACCTACTCATTTGGAAATTGTGGGATCCTGTTTGCAGGCTCAGGAGACCTCTCCTTTCACTCCATTTGGAAAATGTGCTTTTGTAAAGTACTAGTCTGGTAAAATTCACTCTAGCTAGAAGGTCAACAAAATATCTGTTTAGCTTTTATTAAGTCACTATGGCAGCACCCACTGCCAGAACAAGGCCTGTGGATCCTGGCAGTGTTCTGCCGGCTGGATTTCTGAAGGAACTTGAAAGGTCAGACTGCATTTCTTTGAAAACTATTACAGTGTTCCGGCTTTCCTCTCTGGGTATCTAGTATTTATAGTGGTTTGGTGGTTGTGCTGTGTTGCAGCATGGTCTGGGGTCTTCTGGGGTTTCCAGGTTGTCTCCACACTGTCCATTTGGGAGCCTCATGCCTCCCTGTCCTCACTGCTCTGGCTGCTCCCCCTGCACCCACTACCTCCTGGAGGGCTTTGCTCCTGTCTCTGAGCTGGTGGGCAGGATGCCTGGGTGTGTCCCCTAGGAATTACAGACCTAAGGGTAGTCACCACCTCTGGTTTGCTCCTGGGGTGCTCTGGTAGGATCTGAAATGCCCCCTTGCTCTGGGTCATGCCTCACCATCTCTAGAAAGTCATCCCATGGCTCCCAGAGTATGCAGCACCAGCCCCCCTTGAGGTCCCAGTGCAGAGAGGGAGTAGGGGAGCCAGGATGGGCCCAGCCTCCCCTCCCTCCTCTGGACCATGGGGCAGGCAGCTCGGGTTCCTAGAGGGCTGTTTCCCCCACGCTCTCCTTAATCTGCTCTGATCCAAAATGTCTTTCCTTTTATTGCTGCACCAGTCTTGGGGCTCAAAGATTTGCTCAAGCCTCATTGGCCCTTGTGACTAGATTCACCTGGATGGTGCTCAGGCTGGGATGTGAGGCATTTCCACTGTGATCTTATGAGGGGGTGCTTCCTGACAGACTGCCTGACTCACTGAAGAAACTACTATTCAGGTGTTGTTGGGCACATATGCCTCCACCTTAGTTGATGCTTAAAAACAGATGCAGAAAAGCTGAGATAGAAGGTCTTAGCTAGAATTTCTTTCCATGCTAATGAGCGTAAATTTTTTGAGAAATATTCTGTGGTTCAGCTTTGTGGGCATCATCTCGATGCCCAAGCCTGTTGGCCCCTTTTGGCATCTCATTCAACCTTGTCATTGTCCAGATGAGAAACCTCAGCCTCAGTGAGGGGAAGTAACTCGCTTTGAGGTCACACAGCCAGCTAGGGCAAAATTGGGATTAGAACCCACAACCCAGGGTCCTTTCATCTGCACCACCTACATGGCTGGTTGAATAAGTGGCTGCATTTCCTGGGGCCATGGGCTTTGGGGAAGCCAGTTAGCTGGTGCCTTGGCAGTGGCTGGGGGGTGTCAGCAGTTAAGGAGACTCTGTTCCTTATGTCAAGAGGATATTCTCTTGGGATTTTCAGTGGGGACCCTGGGGTTTTGGATGCAGCTTGAGCAAGAGAAACCAGGAGAGAAAGGATTTCTGTGAACTGTTCCTCAGTGACATCATTTCTTCAACTCCAGTCTGTGATGGGGGCCAGGGCCATGTAGTTCACCAACCCTCTAAATTAACCCTTTTTCTAAACTAAGAAGAAAAGTAATAGAAGAAAACTTTTCACTTCTCTGATTCTTAAACCAAGGTGGCTAATAAACACGTAGGCTCAAGTGACAAGGCAGGATAAGAGCCTATTTCATTTTCTTACCCTGACCCTTTAAGGTGCCAACTCAAACACTACCTTTGTCACTCACTTCTGTGTCAATAGAGACAGGTCTGTAGTGCGTGGGGAGGTGGTCAGGGGTTCAAATAGATCTTATGGCCACAGGCGGCCGGCAGGGACCAGGCCAGTTAGCCATGCTTAGGACCCCACAGCTCCTTCCCTAGCCTCTTGCTACCCCTGATCAAAGGTGAAGGCAGGTCAGAGAAGCTTGCCAAGGCTGCCCCTGCAGTCCCTGTCCCTGGTGGAGGGCCGGTTGGGACATTCTTCTACCAAGCTCTGGTATCTGTTTTACCACCAGCCCTTTGCCCACCCCCACCCCACATCTCTGTCCTCTCAGCTGGCCATGTGCCCTTTTGGGAGGAAGAAGACAACCCCTGCTAGGGCCAGGGGCAGCAGAGCCCTGCCTAGTGAGAGGCCGTGGGGTGGTGGCTCTGTCCTGTGCCTTACCAGCCCTGGGGAGAGGGTGTTTGGTTGGAAGAGTGGAATTTATTCGCCATCATCTTTGATTTTGTGACATTTCCTCTTGGAAGGGTGAAAATCCCCTTCCCTCCCCCCCACTCCTTAGCATGTGCACCAACTCTCCCTTGTCATGAGTGTTGCTCTTTGACACTCCAGCTCGGGGAGTGCTGACGTTTAAGTGTGAAGAGGTTCCTCTGTGTGCTAGAACCTAAGAACTGTAGCTTGGAAGTGATGATCCGTGTGATGATGACTTTTCTTTCTTTCCTCTTAGCCAGGAGGTGATTTGTAGATCCCTGACTGCCTATGTAATGTAAATAGTGTACATTTAATTTATTGCTATGGTAGCACATTGTATTTGTTAATGTATAAAACAAATTCTAAAAGGTTCACAAATGTATATTTTGTTGCTTAAATGTGTCTTTGCAGAAATTGACAATAAATAACATATTTTGTGTCCATCAGTGTTCAGATTTCTTTGCATGAGGCCCCAGTCCTGGGCATCACCTTTTGGCTCACTGGAGGTTGCATATTATGTGGCCTGTAGCTGGGTTACTTCAGCCTGAAAATTGTCTTAAAAATTTTGAATTAGTTGTTGATACTCAAAAAACTGACCATGATTAAAAAATACAAACCTAGAAATTTCACATAAAATCCGAATTTTCTGCTTCTCCTAAAAAGTCAGATGCTGAATCTACTCCTCAGGCATGAATTGGCCAGAACTCAGTGGAGTGTATCCCTTTTGGGTGAGGCCTGAGTACACCAGTCTCTATCACTCGCATTATTTACACCTGGAGCATTTCGCTCTTTTCTATTTGCTTGGCCTCTGTAGGCATCTGAGTTTGAGTCCGCTGCTATTCACTGATTTGTCTCCATTCTGCATTTTTTTCCCTTGCTCTCTTTCTTTCCCAAATTCCTGATTTATTTCTTCAGGGATTTTTAAATAATTAAATGCCTTGTCCTTTCCTCCTTTGATTCTGAATGGCCATGCTCTTAGGTACACTTTGCTTTACACTATTTGGATGTAGACTTAGAAGTAATATCTATATATTTTTTTCTTAATTGAAGGCAGGGGACAAGTTTTTAAGTAGCTGCCAGGGCTTGGTTTTGTGATTTTGGACAAATTACTTAACTTCTCACAATTCACATTTTCTTTTGTGTATAATTGGAAAAAATCCACATGCAAAGCATGAGGATAAAAATGAATT